GACGGTGAGCCATCAACATACCAGGAGGTAATAAACAACTCAGATGCTTCACTATGGATGATGGCGATGCAAGAAGAAATCGAAGCCCTTCATAAAAATAATACATGGGACCTTGTGCCACTACCACAAGGAAGGAAGCCAATTGGTAACAAATGGGTCTTCAAAATCAAGCGAAATGGTGATGATCAAGTGGAGAGGTATCGTGCAAGACTGGTGGTCAAAGGATATGCTCAAAAAGAATGTATTGATTTCAATGAAATCTTTTATCCTATGGTTCGACTAACAACAGTTTGAGTAGTTTTGGCAATGTGCTACATTGAACTTACATCTAGAGTAACTAGATGTTAAAACAACTTTTCTTCATGGAAATCTTGAAGAAGAGATTTATATGCTCCAGCCTAAAGGTTTTGAAGAAAAAGAAAAGAAGAACTTGGTTTGCAGGTTGAACAAATCTCTGTAGGCACCGAGGTGTTGGTATAAGAGATTTGATTCCTTCATTATGTGCCTTGGATACAACAGACTTAATGCAGACCCTTGTGCTTATTTCAAGAGGTCTGGTGATAACGATTTTGTTATATTGTTGTTGTATGTGGATGACATGTTGGTTGCAGGACCCATCAAAGATCATATTGAAGAATTAAATGCACAACTGACTAGGGAATTTGAAATGAAGGACTTGGGATCAACAAACAAGATTCTAGGGATGCAAATTCACCGAGACAGAAGTAATAGGAAGATTTGTCTTTCACAAAAGAATTACTTGAAGAAGATCTTGTCACGATTTAGCATGCAAGATTGTAAGCCAATTTCTACCCTCTTCCTATTAACTTCAAATTATCCTCCAGTATAAGTCCTAGCAGTGAAGAAGAGGATGAAGATGTCTCGAGTGTCGTATGCATCAGCAGTGAGAAGTTTAATGTTCGCTATGATATACACAAGACCAGACATTGCACAAGCAGTGTGAGTGGTTAGTCGGTACATGGAGAATCCAGGAAAAGAGAAAGAGCATTGGAATACAGTAAAGAGGATCCTGAGATACATCAAAGGGACCTCAAATGTTGCATTATGTTACGAATGATCAAACTTACTAATCAATGGTTATGTAGATTCTGACTATGCAGGGGATTTGGATAAAAGCAAATCTACTACAGGATATGTGCTCAAAGTTGCTGGTGGAGCTGTAAGATGGGTTTCAAAATTACAGTCAGTTGTGGCTACATCCACAACAGAGGCATAATATGTAGCAGCTACACAAGCCAGTAAAGAAGCAATTTGGTTGAAGATGCTATTGGAGGAGCTTGGGCATAATCAAGAGCATGTTTCTCTGTTTTGTGACAGTCAAAGCGCCTTGCATCTAGCAAGGAATCCAACATTTAATTCAAGGACAAAGCACATACGAGTTCAATACCATTTCATTCGTGAGAAGGAAGGGACGGTAGATATGCAGAAGATCCATACCAAAGACAACATAGCAGATTTCATGACGAAGGCGATCAACGCTGATAAATTTACTTGGTGTCGATCCTCTTGTGGCCTGTCAGAAACGTAAGCAACATGATGGTACAAAGTAGAAAGAATGGTGTGAAGATATGATTGTTCCAATCAAATCTTCAAGTGGGAGATTGTTGAAAGTCTAAGTTGGTTGGCAGCCGGCTGCTTTGAACAAAATTAGGCAGCCAACTTTGTTGAAAAATTAAAAGGGATAATTAAAATTAGTCTTTCACTTTAGGGTATTTACAAGATTAGTCCTTAAGTTTCAACTATAAATACCCTAGCTCATTTAGCTTCAAAACCATCCCAAAGCATTCTAGTTTTCTTCCAATACTAGAGAGAATTTAGAGAGTTTCTTGAGAGTTATTTTCTCCTTTTTTATCAAAAGAGAATTATCATTGTTTTCTCCTTGGTCGATCGAGAGAAGCTGTAATTCATATTTTCTCATAGTGAAATTCTTCTACCGTTGCCCGTGGTTTTTACCCTATATTATTTAGGGGTTTTCCACGTAAATTTTGTGTCTCTTTTATCTTCATTTTTAGTTTCTCAAATTATCAATTGCGATTTTACTCTATCCGATAGTCGTCTTCCGCAACAATATTGAGCAGTCCCAGCGTGGATATTAGGTTACGTACGAAGGCTATGTTTCTGGTTGGTGATCTGGTCGAGTGCCAGTTAGAAAAAATAGATGAAGCTGAAATGCAATTTTTCAGCAACCGTTTATTCTTGAAGTCTGTGGTTGATCTTACTGCATCAAGTGACCTTGATCTCCAGGAGAAGGTAATTCTTTAGCCACGTGTTCATGTTTTGTGGCCTACATACACGAACAACTATTGATGTGATGATGGGTATTTCTTTTCATTGATTTTTGATGCGTCTGACCTCGAGTTCACATGCGCTTGTTTCAATTAAGAATATTCTACGACTGAAAACGACAGAAGCAATGGTTTTCGAGGAGTTTTGCAGATTGGGTGAAGCTTTGGAGAGGATGAAGAAGCAATTGGAGGATTTTATGTTGGAGGATGATCACAGAGAATACATTAGAGATGTTGAAAGCCTCCGCAAGGAAGTGGAACTCGCTTTTCAGTCGAAGTTAGAAAATGTAAGAGATTAGCCGGTCATTCCGTTGGACGTTTTAATTTTAATCCGGTAAACTTAGCCAAGGATTTTTGTTATAATCAACAGGTGAGAGTCGTGCCAACATGACTCGTTGTGGAGTTAAAGTCTCGACACACAATACACCTGATGGATGGTTCATAGTCATTCAGAAAACAAGAACAGAGTTCCTCAGAACAAGTAGAAATATGAGCTAAGTTGTTGCATCGCTTCGTAGTGTAAAATAAGAATATCAATAAAAATATATGAAGAAAGTATTTAAACTATACTTGTATAATTGAAAATTGCATTCTAGCATCTTTACCCATGCTTACAAGGGATTTCAATTAAACTATGCAATGCGCCGATGCCCCTTTGTATGGTTTGATTGGACTCTGCTTGAAGCAATGTGGAACATACTTTTTCAATCGTGAATTAAATCTTACGTTTTCAAAGAGTATTTTATCATTTTATCGGTTGACATCTTTAATACGAAAAAGAATTTAATTTGATATATAAATTTTATAAAATTTAAAATTTTGAGATTAAAAAATTAAGATTTTAAAAGTATATATTTATTTTAATTTAATAGAGAAATATTGTATTTTTAAAGTAAATATTAAGATTAAGAATATAAATTTGTTTTAAGATTTATGATTAAAATAATCAGGTTGTTTAAAGACATGTGTAGGATTAAAACAAAAAATAATTTACACAAATTTAACATAAATACAATTAACAGAACTGATTATTTAATAATCCACAATTCTTGGAACTTAAACAAAAAGTTTGGAGTCATACGGCAGATAAGTATTGAGAACTTCAAGGACTATTGATTGTTCAATTCCGACAAAACAATCCCCACACGCTACTTTATCTGCCAAAGCGGCATGTTTCACACGTGGATGAATAACACGGCACGTTCAAATCACGAACGATTTTCACGTTTGGCCTGAATTATTCACTATTATTTTATTAAATCAGTCGATACTAAATTATTTAAAAATATGAAATAAATACATTAAATATTAAACGATTAAACATTCAACCCTAAATAAATTAAATAACAAACAAACCATCCTAAATTTTAACTGACGGATAAGATAAAAAGCGGTTTCGGATTGGGATTCACTTTTGCAGAATGCAAATAGCTGACTGCCGATAACGTGCAACTTTTAAACACACCTTCCATCAACCCATTAATTAATAACATAAAATAATAAATGAAAGTTTTATGACGTCAACATAATCAAATTATTTTATTATAAAGTATCTTTAAATCATAAAAATATATTTTTAAATGTATTCTTTTTGCCCTGTTTGAGTTTGTCATATGTGATTAAAGATTATTATTCTTATAAAATTATCACAAATTTAGATTATATAAATATTTATTGACATATATTTTATAAGAAATGACAATTTAAGTTACAATAAATATTTTAACTATTTTTAATCCTCCTCTCTATTATTTTATTAGGTAAGTAACATAAATAATAATAACTTTTTATAAAATTAATATATTGTAATTAATATTATTTTTGATACTATAAATATTTTCATAAAATATCATTAGTTTTAATATAAATACTATTTTATTGATTATATAATAATTTTTTTAATTTGGTATAGGAGTTAAAGATTAGGTTACTTCTTTCAAGAGAGCCAAGTTGAACCCTCTACCACTTGTAATTTATATTTTTTTTTCATTTTTTTATCAATTGTATTATTGAAATATTCATGTATCATTAACTTATTCAACATATTCATGCATTTTACCTTTAAATTATTTTCGATAAATCAAATGAGATAGAATACTCAATCATACATCATTAACATATTCAACGATTAAATGATTAAAAATTTCTCTTAATAAATATGATTATATTAATATCTTAAAAAGTAGATGATTTAATTGTATTTTTTAAAATATATTTATAAACATCTTAAAAGTTGAGTGACCATTTTAATATTTTATGCCATATTATATAAGAATTAAAATAATATTAATCTTATAGATAATAGGTTATGTGAGTGAAAAATTAAAAAAGAAAACATAGTATAAAATTATTTTATTTATTTTAAAGATTAAATGTCAAATCCATAAGGATTACAAATATATTATATCAGAAACTTATTTTACTTGTTCTATTAGAACTGTCATATTAACGATTAATAAAAAATTGAATATAAATAATAGAAAAAGTGATGTTTTTAAATAAAAATAATATATATATTTTTTATAAAATATAAAATTGGAATTTAAATTCGAAAATACTAAAAAAAAGCCTATTGGTGTATTTTGCAACATTAATATTTCATTTATCATGTTCAGGACGTGATATTGCAGCGCGAAGGAAAGGAGAAGTAGTAGGAAAAACAAATGCACAAGTGCTAGTCTAATATTACACATCTCCCTGAAACCGAAAGACAAGCTCGTAAGAGAAAACCAAACAAAACTCCAAAAGAAAGAAGAAAATTAATATCTTATTTTCTTTTAAAAGATGTCATCAATGGAAGATTTGAAAGCAAAGGCACGTTTGGCTGTGCTTGCTGCCCACTTGGCGGCTCCTGGTTGGTCCTCCAACAACCCGAATTCCTCCGTTCTCGAGCCGGGGTGCGTGTCGGCTCAAGCCGCCCCTTCCTCCGTTGGCGGTTCGTTGACCGTCGTCGACGAGCGAGCCGGGAAGAAGTACCAGGTCCCTGTCTCAACCGAAGGCACCGTCAGAGCTACCGATTTTAAAAAGGTTTTTTTAAAGCAATTTGTTTGTATATTTGTTTTGATTTATGTATAATAATCTGATTCTGAATTTTAGGGGATGTAATTTTGGTTTTGAGCTTTAATTTGGTTGCAGATAACGACAGGGAAAGATGACAAGGGGCTGAAAATTTATGATCCGGGTTACTTGAATACTGCTCCGGTTCGGTCGTCGATTTCTTATATAGATGGAGACGAAGGGATCCTTAGATACAGAGGGTATACAATTGAAGAATTGGCTGAGAGTTCCAGTTTCTTGGAAGTGGCTTACCTCTTGATATGCTTTTAAATTTACAACCACCTCTTTTCTTTATCCAATCTGTGATTGTTTGTAGGATTTGATTAATTATTTGTAAAAGATACTTCATACTGAAAAAATGAATTGAAATCTCATGGATCACCTATTGAGGTTCTCTTTAAATCGATGCGTGTGATGATTGTATGTAAATCATGTGACATAGTGTCTTGAAGATTGATTCAGGGTTATGGAGAGAAAACAGTGAGAAAAAGAAGAAACTTAAATGAATGGTAGGTAAGGTATTGACAAGGATTTTATGGTAAAGGGAGTTGGCTATTTCAATGTAGATGGCCACTTGTTACTTTTAAGCTGGAACTTATGCTAGTTTTTTATCTGTATCCATGGAAAGAGCAAGATCCTCTCTAATCACTAATTTGACAGACATGACTTTGACTTAAAATATCAATTGCAAACTATTTTCAACAAGAATTTATCAAATTTGCTCTGGATCAATGAAGGTTTATAATATTTTGTCTTTGATTGCAACCATGCATTAACTTATATATTTGGTTATGTGTCTAAACAATTTGCTTCCAACTTTTCAGTGTATGGGAATTTGCCTTCTGAAGGTCAGCTAGCAGACTGGGAATTTGCTGTTACCCAGCATTCGGCTGTGCCGCAAGGGATTCTGGTATGCTTTCTTTCTTCTAGAAAATAAACCTGTAGTCCTTGGATGTTGCAATGTATATGATGTTTATAATAAATATGATCCGTTGTTTTTTTTTTTAATTTCTTTGGTTTATGGGCCAAATTCTGATTCCTTTTCAGCATTACTATTAATCAGGTCTATTACTTCTAGTTTAACAGATTTTATTCAACTTGTCTCACGTTTTTCTGTTCTTGCAGGACATTATACAATCAATGCCCCATGATGCTCATCCAATGGGTGTCCTTGTCAGTGCAATGAGCGCCCTTTCTGTTTTTCACCCTGATGCCAATCCTGCTCTCAGAGTAAGTTGATGGTTTAATTTTGAATTAATGCCTTTTGAAGATTCATTTGAATTGATATTCTGTTGCTCTAGTATTTTGTTCAGTCATGATATGGGTCTATAAGAGCACATAGGTAGCGAAAACTGATAAAAATTGTTGTTAGTGTTGTTTTTTTCGAAGAAAAAGTTAGGGTAAGTGGGCCTAGTCGTTTTGGAATTGTAAGGATTCTAAGATAAAATTGTTTTAAGATATTGGATGTTACATTTACCTTTTTTGTTTCCTGTCTCGAGAGACTATTTTCCAAATGTTAAAGCATGTATGTATTCTATGAGGTAACAACATTTTTGCAACTTATGACTTTCAAAACGATCCGTATGATATAAGAACATGCTCTGGCCTAATGTCTTTACTGAAGTCAAATGTAACTTTAGCTTTTTCCAGACCAGCATTAGAGCATAAAAGAAGAAGATAGACGTGCACTGTTATTATAGAACATAAAAAACGAAAGAAGATTTTATTATTTTTTTCTTCTGTTTTGTGTTTCTCTTCTGTTTCCTGTAATTTATATCCACTATTAATGCAGGGCCAAGATCTTTATAAGTCGAAACAAGTGAGAGATAAGCAAATAGCTCGCATTCTTGGAAAGGTATGTGCTTTTAATTCCTTTTCCCTCTGTTTTTTGTTCTCTAAAGTAGCTGCTTCTATTCACGAGGTCATATCTTTAACTCTGGTGTGTGATCTCGTTACTTTTATTTGTTCTATGGATTTGGGTTTACCACTTCTTTGTTATGTTGAAGACAGTACAAAACTTTGTTCTTCTTTCAGGCACCAACCATTGCTGCGGCAGCTTATCTGAGGATGGCAGGAAGGCCTCCAGTTCTTCCTTCCAGCAACTTATCTTATTCCGAGAACTTTCTCTATATGCTAGATTCAATGTATGTTCTTTGGAACCTTTGATACTCTCATTAATGGCTATGTTTTGGTAAAAAGTTTTATCTTCTGGCTTCCATATATCTTTTTCTTAATGCTATTTTAACCTCGTAATCACCATCTAGGAGGCAAAATCTTGGCCTTCCTCCTATCTAATGTGTCCATTTAAATAACTCTCAGGGGCAACCGGTCTTACAAGCCCAACCCTCGGTTAGCTCGAGTTCTGGACATTCTTTCATACTACATGCAGAACATGAAATGAACTGTTCCACAGCTGCTGCTCGGCATCTTGCATCAGGGTAGGTCTATTAATGCTATTGCACTACTGTGCTAGAACAACAACAAATCTATGTATTAACTATCAGTGTGTATCTGCATCTGTAGTGGAGTTGATGTATACACTGCACTAGCTGGAGCTGTTGGAGCATTATATGGACCTCTTCATGGTGGAGCAAACGAGGTATGGAGAGCCAAAGATTTTTCTTTTTCATTTTAACTCAATGCTTATCAGTAATGACCTGGAATTCAAGTTCCAAAGGAATGGTGTTACAACATGATTGTTTAGACTATATAATTCTCTTGACATGTAATATTATCTGTCAGTTTGTTTATTTAAGTATATCAATTCTCTTTTTATCATAAGTTGTTCGTGCCGGTCATACCTGAGATTTTTCCCCATCTTTTTGTTTTTGGTTGTTATAGGCTGTGCTCAAGATGCTTAGCGAGATTGGATCAGTAGAGAACATTCCTGAGTTTATTGAAGGTGTTAAGAACAGGTGAATGTTGCATATGAGTTTTGCTGTTAAGTTCAAGTGGCATTAACCTAAAGGTTCAACTTGCAGTGTTATATTTTCTCTCAAATGTTTTATTTACTTTTGTATATATATATTTATTTCTTTAGGAAGCGGAAAATGTCTGGTTTTGGGCACCGTGTATACAAAAACTATGATCCAAGGGCAAAGGTGATAAAGAAATTGGCAGAGGAAGTTTTTTCTATTGTCGGCCGGGATCCTCTTATTGAGGTGTTTATCGACGACCCTCCAAATTATTTTCTTTTACATAAACCATCTCCCCCTCCCCCTCATGCCTAATTGTTTTTGGTTTGATGTAAATGTTTTAATAAGCTTTTCTTTTTCTTACCTCTTATTTATTTTCTTTTTGCAGGTAGCTATTAGTTTGGAGAAAGCTGCATTATCCGATGAGTATTTTATTACGAGGAAACTTTATCCAAATGTTGATTTCTATTCGGGATTAATATACCGGTAAATAAGATTAATTTATCTGCTTACTTTGAAAACCTAGACAAATGTATAAGATGCATTTTAGTTTTTCCTCCTCCAAGTGTTAAGACTGGTGACAATTGAGTTTTTATTCAACAGGGCTATGGGATTTCCACCGGAGTTCTTCACTGTATTATTTGCAATCCCTCGGATGGCTGGGTACTTGGCACACTGGCGCGAGTCTTTAGATGATCCTGATACAAAGATAATAAGACCCCAACAGGTCAGTCCATATTTTGAGACTCAAGCTACATTATTATTTTGTTCTGCCTGATGACCTTGATAGTTGGAACGAAATATAAGACGGGAAATTATTTGATACACAATTTGTGTAAGCTAGGGCTTATAAACGAGCTGAGTCGAGCAGTGTTGAGCTCGACTTAACTCGAAAATTCATGAGCTTAAAATTATCAAGCTCGACTCGAACTCGAAATAAAAAATTGAAGCTCGACTCGAGTTAAAAACTTGAACTCAAAATATTCTTAGACTTAGCTCGATTGAAGCTCAAACCTAAACTGCAAGTACATGAAAGCCTTATATTGTAATTTTTTTTTTAAAAAAAGAACATATAAATGTTAATATTAATAATAATTGATTTAAAAAATCTAAAATTTTAATATATTATTTTTTCAAGTTGTTCATGATCTTTTCGAGTCAGATATCAAGTAGCTCATTTCAGCTCGTTAAGATTTCTAGTTGATTTCGAGCTCGAGAGTTGACCGAACTTTGACCGAATCAGTCTCGAATAGCTCGCGATATGTCTCTTAGGAAACTCCACAAACATGTCCTATTTGATTGCAAAAATAGAGAATTTTTATCACTGTCAATGTTTGTGATTATAATCTATATAATATTGCATGTTATTTTCTTCTAGTGTGTAGTGATTCTGTATTTTTGATTGCAAAAATCCCTACCAACTTTTACTTGAAGGTAAAAGGAATTACAAAGTTTGCACTTTTAAAGGTATCAAGCTGTCATTTTTAGATCTCTCATATTCCAATCAAATTTTCAGGTTTATACCGGTGTATGGCTACGGCATTACATGCCACTAAAGGAACGAATGGCGTCAAATGAAGCCGACAAGCTCGCGCAGGTATCCACATCAAATGCCTCGAGACGACGACTCGCCGGCTCCGGGGTTTAGGCTTCATTGTGCTTATATTATAATGCAAGCAAAATAAACGGGGTTAGTAATCTCCATGAAAATAAAGTTACCCTTGTCAAACGGGGTTATATTATAATGCATGGGGCTCGTATTCCGTTGAACCTATTACTGATAGGGATGGATGGTCTTACAATTAAAGGTAATATATACTTGATTTGTGAACTTGGAAATGGTTTTAGTCGTCATGATGTAGTGTCTTAGCCTGCAAGGTCTCACTAGCCAGCTTCAACTTGTGAAACTGATCAAATTCAAAACAATTATTACTGTTTATTCTATTTCAAAAATTAAAGTTAAATGTTTATATGGCATTCCTTTACCATTTCATTAGTTTGTTTGTTTTAATGAAATTTGAGTTTTGAGTTGTATTCAAGTTTAGAGAGAATTTATTGTGGTAGAATTATGAAAATATTATTTTTATGTAGTTCTATATTATTAGTTAGATTTCAATAAAAATGTGTAAAAATGTAAGGTATTGGAATTGATATTAAATTGAAAAATATTTTAGATTCTTAAGTTAAATAAATTAGTTTTTATTGATTTTTTTTAATTTTGAAAATGTGTGAAAATTGAAAATAATGTTAAATTAGTTTTTTTTATAATTTTTTTAGTTGAATTTATAAAATCGAGTTAAGTTGATTTGAGTTGTTCAAATTTTTGTTTAAACTTATTTGTAAATATTTATAATGTTTATGATACTTAATTTATTATAATCTAAACGACTTTCGATAATCATATACAATATATATATATATATATATATATATATATATATATATATATATTCATAATTTTTATATGTGATACATTTGAGAAGCTCGAGCTAAACTTAAAAGTTAATACATTAATTATTAAAATATTTGAGTTATTCAAGTATTATTTTTTTTTAGTCGAATAATGTTTATAAAATTGTGAATCAAATTAATTTTTTTATTTTTAATCAAATCTGATTTTGTTCACCCTTATATGAATTTACGTGTTTTAAATATATTGTAGCTAATATTTAATTAATAGAAAGATTTTATTGATATAATATTAAAATGTTAACAACAATATTTGATCGATATAAGAATTATTATTAGATGTACTATAATAAAAAAAACCGTAGTTAATATTCGGATAATAACTGTCTAATTTATTTGATTTTTATATAATATTAATATTTTAAGAACTTAACTAAGATATTTTAAAATTTAAGATGAATTTAAATTTTAAATTATAATTTAGGATATTTAATGTAACTAAATAAAAGATCTATATATGTAAGTATCAAAATTGGATATACAAAACCGTAATTTCACACCATCATTAAATCATCTCGCACTTAATCGCATCTTAAGAACACTAATCAATAATAATAATAATAATAATAATAATAATAATTTTATTAAAATGGATCCGAAGAGAAAAGAGTGGATTCAACAAAGTCAAAATAAATAATAAAATATAAGCAATGTTGTAAGGGACCCACCTGCTTAAAACCCAATTTCCTCCATCACGTTCAAGTTCCAACGCCGGCCGTCTAAACTCCGTTCCGTTTACGGGTGACGATGCTCTATCATTTTTTTCTTCGTTATTTATCCTTCACTTTTGAAAATATATTATTTGATCATTTGAGTTGGGCTATTATTTGAGTGTTTGATCACTGGTGTTTTCACCTGGGTGAAGTAGTTGATTTTTATTCTAGGTGATTTTTTCGTTAGAAAATTATTGGATCTGGTTTCTCTTTTCGTTATTCGATTCAAATTCACGCCTAGAGGATTTCTCTAATTGTCCCATGGCGCCAGCCATCCATCTCATTGACTAATTAAGAATCTTTGATACTCACTTTTAAGTTCTGGTGTCCGTCATGTATTGTAGATGTCCGTTTTTGAGTAGGAATGTCAATAATAAAATCCTATTCTCATATGTAATGATGTAAGGGGAAGTAAGGTAGTAGATGGTATCTAACGCCAGGTAGTAGATGGTATCTAACGCCAGGTTGAGAGTAGCTTCCGTGGAAGACCTCAAACAGACAGAAAATTAAAAATAAAGATAAAATACAATGCATGTATAAATAAATACATAGTTGAACAATCTTCATATAAAATCTTCATATGCGTGTCTGTAATGGACAGTAATCTCTGCGTAAAATCTCTGCATATAGATAAAAACGTAAGTCCCAACTAAATTTAAAAAGAGGAAACATGAAGAGAATGATACACAATAGGCAGCGATAGCAAGCTACGATAAGAAATATAGTCAAATGGGTAAAAACCTAAACTAAGACAACACTACTCCTCTACCCTAGTTATAAGCCTTCACAAATTCCAATGACAGAAACGTATAAAAAGTAGCAGTCATGGAAATTACTACAAAGGTATTAAAAAGAAGGCAGAGATGCTACGCCCTATGGCTGTGACGCACAATACTCGGCTACCCTGGTCTTAAGTTTCCATACTTTCATGTCAGAGGTCATGTCCTCGGTAAGGGCTAAATCATTCAAATCAGTTCTCAAGCAGTCTACCCACTTCCTCCTTGGTTGTCCTCTCCTTCAGACACCGTTTGCTGTAATCGACTCTACCCTCCTGACGGCATCCGACGGTTGTCGCCTAAGGACATACCCAAACCACCGTAGTCTTCTCTCCCTCAACTTTTCGAATACAGGCAGCACCCTCAAATTTTAAACATGGTCAAGATATAAAATGATGTGTAGAATATTAAAGTTGTGCCAACGAAAAGACAGAATGTAATATATACGTGAAAGGCTTATAATAAAGGTCAATCAGCAATTGATGGTGAATTACTTCCTTCTGTACAGAAAGGAATTGAATTAGCTAAGAAGATGCATCTTTTTAACAAGAATGACAATAGTTTCCCATAATTTGCTGTTCTTGTAAAAAAAGATGCATGCATTAGAAAATCAGTTCATAGGACTTACTATTTACTGCTTCATGGTTGTCTGATTGTGCTGCTTAATAGAATCATTATATTGCGTATGCAGTTTAATTGAACAATTTAAGGCTTGATGAGTTAAGATAAAGTCGATGACGTGCCTTTAAGATTGAAAAATTACTGAGATTTGTATTTATTTACCTCTGTTCGATGGTTGGCTAAGCAATATTTTCTAATTTCTTTATGTTGGATTATGCGTTAATTAAAAAGTTTAATGTCTTTTAGGAGTCTTTCAAGATTAGGGAGGGAGTCTTTGTTATTTTTGTCTCTAGATAAGTTTTATCTTTCCAGTGAGTTTTATTACGAGTCAACGACTAGGTGTATTTAACTAAAATATGTACACTATTCGGATGAATAAGTTTGAATTCCATTCCTTTCACCTGTTTTTCTGTCACTTTTTATTAATCCTACCTATATTTTCTCTTGTTTCAGATATCTGAAAAATGTCAGGTCAAAGCCAGCGCTTGAACGTGGTTCCAACTGTTACGATGCTTGGAATCATGAAAGCTCGGTTTGTGGGTGCTACAAGAGGTCATGCACTTCTCAAGAAGAAGAGCGATGCCTTGACTGTACAATTTCGACAGATTCTTAAGAAGATAGTGTCTACAAAAGAATCAATGGGAGAGATTATGAAAATCTCCTCGTTTTCGCTTACTGAGGCCAAGTATGTTGCTGGTAAGAACATCAAACATGTCGTGCTTGAGAATGTTCACACCGCTTCTCTTAAAGTTCGATCACGATAAGAGAATGTTGCGGGAGTGAAGCTTCCCAAGTTCGAGTATTTTACTGAAGGTGAGACCAAGAATGATTTGACTGGATTGGACAGAGGTCGACAACAGGTCCAGCAGTGCCGTGCTGCTTACGCGAAAGCAATCGAGGTTCTAGTCGAGCTTGCTTCTCTTCAGACATCATTCTTAACACTCGATGAGGCAGTCAAGACGACGAACCGCAGGGTTAATGCTTTAGAGAATGTTGTGAAGCCGAGGTTGGAGAATACGATAAGTTACATTAAGGGAGAGTTAGATGAGCTCGAAAGGGAGGATTTCTTCAGGCTAAAGAAGATACAAGGTTATAAGAAGAGGGAAACAGAGAAAAAACTAGTTGCTGCGAAGGAGTTCGAGTTCGCCGAGAAAGTTTCCTTGCGGAATGGGGTTTCAAGAAATTCAGCTCACAATATGCTGTCTGCAAGCAGGGCGAAGGACGAAGATATTATCTTTTGACGACGAGGTTAGACTGTATTCTTTCCTTGTATTCGTTGCTTTTCTATCCGATGTACGTTCGATGGCGGGAAATTCCTTTATTTCAAGGTGGTGTTCTGAATAAATATCACATGTATGTTTCTACTTATTTTGTTTATTATTGTTAATGATCAGACATTTACCATTTCAGTTTGGAAACAACAGACGTTCACCATTCCAAGGCTCTAAGGTACGCATTTATGATATCATTGATGCCTTTCGAATAATGAGTCTATAGGACAACTCGGTTAAAGTCGATTGCTGGAAAACAGTAGCTTGGTGCGCATTCAGCTTGCGAGTGAGTGTGCGTCTAATAATATTTGATTAAAGAGGGAGGTATTACATTTTCAAGTTAAATGTTAAGATTCAAACTCACACGAGGTCGGATAATATAAGCATCTTTAGTAACTCGACCAATTAGTGGATTTATGCGTCTAACAGTATTTTGTGCTTGTTAGGGGAGTTGATTCCGAAGATGCATGCGGATCCTCTATCCATCAATATTCTAAAAATGTTGATTTTAGGGCCAGGGATAACTATGATGGAGGCGGTCATTCTTCTACAAATTTTAATTTTTATATAATTTATAAATTTCATTTGTACTTCTTATCGATAATATGTTTTTGTTTCCTAAAATTTTATAGGTTCACCTCATATCATAAAACTCTATATCTATCCTCAACTTGGGCAGGACAAGTACCTTATAATTAAATAAAAAAGGAAAAAATTAATATAACAAATAAGGTAATAATGTCCATAGTTATATTACTTTAAATATAATGACAAAAATATAATACAACCAATAACATGACAATATCAAAGTTATATCAAATATTTAACGTCTTGAATTCAATTTTAAAATTAAAGATAATATTAATATAATACCAAGAAAGTGAATCCAATGGTGAAGTTATAAAATTTCGGTGACTAAAATGAAAGCATCCTAAAAGTTCTGTGATTATCAATGTAATTTATCCTATTTTTTATAATTTTGAATTTTATTATTAATCATTATATTATGCATAAATTATATATTTAATCATTATATTATAATCTGATTTATTTTTAATAATCCAGTTAGTATGGTGCATTTATATCATTTTTCTTAATAGATTAAGGTGGGTCGAGCTTGAAATTTCTAAGAGTAAAGACAATAGTCAATATCTAAACTAAGTCAGAGAACTTGTCATATTTTGACAAAATATTGAATGTAGTGATTACTAATGTAATTTACCCTAAACAAATAAAATAATTGAATTGAGCACGTGTTCTGTTCAAGGGTTTAAAGTAGCTGATGGTCACAGTAAGTACTGCCCCGCCAACCGTTCTCGCTGCATCTGATTGCAAGGGAAGCACTCTTGCATCGAGCTTCAAGCACGGAAAATATTCAGGTGATTTGTTCGTCCCGACTCAGCGCACTTGGTAGCCTAACTGTTTGATAAAATGTCCGCAAGAAACCTTCTCCCAGTTTCATCCACATTTATACAATACAATGCTCTGAACAAAACTCCTTTGTTTTCCTTTTCTTTTAATGATCAGATGCTTGGAAAAAAATGTTGAAATGAGACGAAGTATTTTCACTGCTGCTATTGTTTCTGCTTGAACAGACAAAACTTTGAGAGAACGAGATTCTAGGCTGCTCTTCTCCCACTAAAATGAAAAATACATTCGTTTTGCCCAGGCCTAGCGAAGTATGCATAGTCTTCATTTTCTTTTATCAATCCCCTGTTTTCTACTTGCTCCTTTTTATAAGACCCGATGCTTCTGCAATTTTTTATTAGTTTTGAGAGGAATAAAGCTCTTTTTGTTTGAATCAGATTCTATTCTAACCTTTATAATTCCCATCATTCACTTTTCTTTGATGTTTAATCATTGCTCGTTTTCATGGTTTTGCCTTGCTTTTGTACTTGGTTTAACTGTACCTTTTGTTATAGGCATTGGAAGTTATCCTCTACAAAGTTTTGACTTGTCGAGAAAATCGAAGTACGGTAGACCGAAGATGGAACTCACCCTAACTCAACCCGATGATTGGCATCTTCATCTCCGAGATGGGGACCTTCTTCAAGCTGTTGCTCCTCACAGGTTGTTTTGCTTTTAATAACGTTTTCTGGTTGTTGACTTTTGGGGTATTCAGTTTTTTGGTGATTACATTTGCTCAAGTGGCTGAAATCACTTTTGCAATTCAGTTAAACGTTTAAACTGGTATTTTGGTTAATGTCTTAAATAATATTATTTTGTGCTTTTGAGTTTGTTATTGTTTCCAGATTTAAATTGTTGGACCTATACCAGTTTGAATTCAATATCTATTATTTGAAATATGTATAGGATTGATTAGTTCAGTACAATCTTTGATCAAAATAACTCAAACAACCGTTTGCTCACCCCTAGTTGACTTGAATTACTATTCAATTTATGGGGAAATTATCTGAATGATTGATTCCCCCCCACCCTCCCCCCGGCCCGCTTCCTAATTAGTATTCATACTACAGTGCAAAGCTTTTTGGAAGGGCAATAGTAATGCCAAATTTGAAGCCTCCTATTACAACCACTGCTGCTGCTCTTGCTTATCAGAAATCAATCTTGAAAGCATTGCCTGCTGATAGCAACTTCACTCCACTAATGACTCTATATTTAACAGATAAAACCAGTCCGAATGAGATCAAGCTCGCTAGTAAGTCTATCTCATATTTCATATGGTGTCTATGATTCTTCTTTTTTGTTCCCCATGTGGAAAACCTCTACCAAACTCATCTGTCTCCTTCTTTTCCGTGCCAGGCTCTTGCAGTTTCAGCCATTTTATTTTAGTCCTTTTATTTAGAATTGTAGAGGAAGTGCACTTAAAACAAATAGCTCCTATTTGTTATTTGGCCCCATTTGTTTCAACTTGAGTCTTGTAGTTTTGCTGAAGATTGGGTCTCATGTGTTGACAGGGAAGAGTGGAGTTGTCTTTGCTGTTAAGCTGTACCCTGCTGGCGCAACCACAAATTCTCAAGACGGTGTTACAGATCTGTTTGGGAAATGCCTAACAGTTCTCGAAGCGATGGTTGAGGAAAACATGCCATTGCTGGTAATAATTTCAACCATTCTAGGTTCACTATTATTTGTTGGTTAACTACAAGGCTCTTGTACATTGGCAGTGTGATTTCTTAGATATCATATGACAAGCAAGTACAGCCTATATAACATTGTCAATATTTCAAGACATTGCTTTCTCTTTTTGTACTTTTGCTGCTTTCAACTTGTATAATATCAAATCTGATCAATTTATAGGTTCATGGAGAGGTCACAGAGTCTGATGTTGATGTTTTTGATCGGGAGAAAGTGTTCATCGACACTGTTTTGTAACCTTTAATTCAAAGGCTTCCTATACTAAAGATTGTGATGGAGCATATCACCACTATGGATGCTGTAAGATTTGTAGAGTCTGGCAAAGAAGGTAAACTTTTTGCCAAATACTCATCATTTCTTGTTTTAGTGTTAGAAACAATAAAGCCCTTTTAAATTTCTTCCTTGCTTCTCATTTAGCTCATGAGTTTTTGTTTTCCGCTTTAGGATTTTTGGCCGCAACTGTTACTCCGCAACATCTTATTCTCAATAGAAATGCTCTTTTCCAAGGAGGAATGCAGCCACATAATTACTGCCTTCCTGTACTTAAAAGAGAAACCCACAGTGTGTTCCACTCAAAATTTGGGACTTCTTTCTACTAATCATTTGCGTTTCTTAAAAGTAGGGTGTAGTTATGATATATGGGTATACTTTTGTTTCTTATGGTTTTAGAACTTATAGTCCAATAAATTCAACAGAGTTTGTTATAATAATCATGTCTTCACAGACTTGTGTGTGTTTGTCTTACCCCAGGGAAGGCTATTGTTTCTGCTGTGACTAGTGGAAGCAAAAGATTTTCCTGGGAACTGACAGTTCTCCTCATGAGAGACGAAGAAAAGAATGTCCTCGTGGTTGTGCTGGCATTTACAGTGCCCCTGTTGCATTATCGCTATATGCTAAGGTCTTCGAAGAGGTAGTTTTCTTATTAATAATAAGCTTCTCACTATTTTCTTGAATGCTGCAACGGAATTCGAATCAGAGAGGAACTATATTAATGGGGTTAAGGAAAGGTTGAATAAAATCACGTCCGAGTAATATATGTTCAGCTGTGGGTTTGCAGAAAGTTTGTGGTTAAACATTCGAGGGATATCTCATTGATCTGATACTAACAGTTGTTGTTGATTGATACTCGGATAGCTTTCATTTTGATTTCACTTTACCACACCTAAGCCTGTTTTTACGGATTATTATAGGCGGGTGCACTTGATAAATTAGAAGCATTTACGAGCTTCAACGGACCGGACTTCTACGGTCTCCCGAGAAACACCGAAAAAATCAAAATGACTAAGAACCCATGGGCGGTCCCGAGCTATTTCTCGTTTAATTTCGGGGACATCGTTCCTATGTTTGCTGGTGAAACACTTCAGTGGCAACCCTGCTTCTCTTGATCCTATCCTTTTTCGTTTCTTTTTTCTTCATCTCAGGTAGCATTGTGTTATTTTATGTAGCTGGTGTTCTCACGTAGTGGGAAGAAACTGTTGTTGAATAAGGTTCAAAGAGTTGAAAACATTGTAATTTGCTCCTGCAATTTGATGGAATTGGGTTCAGAACTTCATCATATCTTTACTCCATCGAGATACTGCAACATGAAATTACCATCCTCAATAACGTCCATGCCAAAGAGTATGAAACTAACAAATTCAACACAACTTATTTTATTCTTGATAACAAAAACAAAGACAAAGCACTCCTATTTATTCAATAAACGTCCATGTTCCGTTTCCCACGTGGTGGCTCACTACTTCAACGCCACTCACGTCGGTCGCCGCTCTGGGATTTGGGTTGGTTGTTGCCGGGTGCAATATTAATAAGGTTGGCTGTATTCTGTGCAATTTCAACTATCGTTTCAGCAATGGCTCCCAACACACCCGATTCATCTCTACCCGCAGAACCCTCGAGTTCTCTCCTCTCCATTTCCACTGCTCCTTCATGGCCTCTCTTCTCAGTTTCCTCAAAATGATTAACAAATTGTTATGTCAGTGGGAACCTATTAAAATAATGAAAGAAACAAAGGTAGTTTTGTCGCTATATAAATAAACCTGTGTAAATCCACCACGTTTGTTCGTCTCCGATGATCCCTGAAAGTTTTGCTTCGGGCCATCTCCAATTGGCTTTGGAGTCTCCTCGATTTCCTCGCTGTTTTTTCTCGGAAAATTCTCGCCTCGTTGTTGAGTCTCACTCGGTCTTTCCCTTGGTTTTGCAGTTTCCCCGATTTTCTCTTTCGTTTTTCTCGGAAAATCCGTGAGTTGTTGTCGAGTCTCACTCGGTCTCTCCTTGCTTTCTTCTTCTTGGTAACTAATGTATTCACCCTTCAAACCAATAACAGTAAAAATTTGGAACGAATAATGTAATACTATATTTGAACTAAACACAGTTCCCAGAATCATAAAATAAATAAGGTACAAAATTACCTGTGTTTTTGATGATCTCTTATCTTCTAATTCTCTCGCCGCCTCCTCCTTTTTCCTGGCAGTATACTCTTTCACAATCTCACCAGCAGCTGAAGCAGCGTCCTTGGCCGCCCTTAACGATGTCGCGGCAAGCTCCTTTGATTTTTGACCGGTATACTCCGCCGCTCCCTCCACCATCCTCGCCGCTGCCTTTGTCCCTTCCACCGCTTTCTCGGTCGTATAATTCGCCGCACTCCAGCCAGCTACGACAGCTCTATCCTTCGCATCCACAGCCCCTTTTCCTGCCAACTCAGCCGCCTCCTTGCCTTTCTCTACCGTCACATCCTTTGCAGCAACCGCTTTTTCTCCGGTATAACTCGCGACGTTTTTAGTAACATCAACAGCAGAATCTTTCGCTTTAACCGCCGTTTGCGTTGCGTAGTCTTTCGCCTGTTCCATTTTCGGCACCGTGTAGTCTGCGGTAGTCCTGCCTGCACTCGATAGGGTTCCGGCCGCGGTGTCTTTGGTCTTCTTCGCACCTTCAACGACGGTATCCTTTGCTTGTCCACCTATCTCCGCCGCCTGCAGCGAAGCTCGACGAACAGTGTCAGCCACTTGTCCACCCTTCTCTGTGGCATACTGAGCGCTTTGTTGAGAGGTTTCCCTTGCTTGTTGACCCTTTTCTTTGGTGTACGCCGCTGTGTTGAGCGCTTGGTTGGCCGATTCTTCATCACCTGATTCACCTTCCTTACCGATATTCCTTCGTTCTGCAGCAGTTTCCGCGCTACGCCTTCTATCTTTATCGCCCTCGTGTTTACCAATAGACTCCATCCCATGTTTAGCCTTGGACTCCATTGAAGCACCTCTCTCTTGTCCAGGCACAGCACTCATTTGGACTTTCCCCGTAGCGTAATTAGGCTCTCTCGTCCTCTCTTGAAACTGTTTTCCTCTCCCTATTCCGACACCATCTCCCTCCGTTTTCGCCACTATCGTGGCTGAAACATTAATGTCACCGACTTTCCCTCCGAGCTCATGGCGCTCCCTGTGAGGGACTTGTCTGGCAACACCGGCATCCGGCTGTTTCGCCTTCTCGGCAAGGGACTCGAAATGAGTGGCCATCTTAGGTACTTTGTTTTCCTCGGCCGTGGCGTTCTCTCTAAGACTCAGTTGATGGGACGCCATTATCTCACCGATTGGATTTTTGTTCTCTTTTAGCAATCGGGTTGTTGGATTTTGTTCTCTTTTAGCAATCGGGTTGTTGTATTTGTTTGTGAGAGTGAAACACCGAGTTGGCCTTGAAATAGAAGGGAAGAAGGTGGTGGAGAAGATGGAAGTACGTGCATGGATGCTGACACGTGTGACGCTGAGTTGGAGATTTGGGACACGTGTTGTGAGAAATCATAATGGGAGAGGCGAGTCATCTTATCCGTTTAAGAAAATAATCAGTGGACACGTGTTTAGGTTGTGTGTGTTGTGACGAAAGCTTAGTTACTTGGCACTACCACGATTATTCAACTTTTATCCAATTGCCACCGAATAGAAATACTATACGCATAAAACACCTCCCGAGTCAGGTAAGGTCAAATTATGATTTTGATTTTACACTATAAATGAATATTTAGGATATGTTTGATTTATGTAAAATATATATATAAAACACCTCTGTATACTTCGTTTCTGAATTACCCTCTGATCGGAGATTCGAGGGTGAGCTTGTCGGAGAATTTCTAGTCTTATCTACAGTTGAAAATGGTGATGATGGAGACTGTGGAGGTGACTAAAGAGGGCTACCTACAGGTGAAAGTGATTCCGGTGGAGGTGGTGGTGGTTTGATGCTAAGGATGGGATCTTTCTGGTTGCCTTTGTCTGCCAAAGACAGCTTGCCGATGCCGAGCTCCGAAGCTTTCGACTTCACACTAGAACCACCTCCATGAGTCTCAGCAATTAGCATAAAAAAGAGCAGAAAACCTTTTAGAAAGTAGTTGGATATGAAATGATGTTATAGTATAGTGTTAAAAGAATGTAGGAAGGCATACATTCTTTAATTGAAGAACAATGGTCTCCCCCTCCTTTAAAATGTAATCAACTGTGGAAGTGTTCTGGAACTGCTGCTCCATCTCTTCCGTAGTTTTCTTTTTGTTCAAGTAATTCAAAGAGTGCATTGCTTTAGTATAGGTACATTACTCGTTCGTACTCTTCGAAAAAACAAAGCAATATGAACTTAAGAAATCGCAGAAAAGAAAGCAAATGAAATAACAGAAACTTCAGTAAGATGTATGAGAGCCTACTTCATATGGTCATGCAGGGCTGCTTGGAAATCATACGCCTCTGTTCTTTCTCGAAATCCAATGCCGATGAAAGCATGCCGATGGCGACCACCTGCATGGATTCTGAAGTAATAAATAAAGGGGTTAAAAACTAAATACCAACTACAAACAAGCAAAGCACATAGTATCATCATCAGACAAGTCTGGAGTAATAACAAAGTAGTATTTGTTAACATATACCCTATAGACGTAATTATTCGAACCTAAAGAAAAGTTCTTTCGAGAGAACTATAATTCTTTTATTACTAACGTCACTCAATAAACCATCAGAGAACTGCTACGTTTTGACATTTAACTAAAAGAAGATATGAAACTGGGTTAATGAAAGAGAACCATATCCTAATTTGAAATATTAGGATGGAACAGAAGTTAAGAGGGTTTGGGGTAGATTGGTATCTTGAGACAGTTGCACTCCACAAACGTCGAGCAAGAGAATATGTCACAGGATAAGACTAAAGGCAACAGAGGACCAAATGAAGTGACCATAGCTGAAAGAAGTCGGTATAGAAAAGCTAGAATCACATATAAGACATCTCTTTCTTTAGGATGCTGCATCACAAAAGATGGTTTGTTCCTTTTTCTTACCTAAAAGCATACAAAGTTGGATTTTCCTAGATGCAGAAGATAACTTCATGCTATAGGGGATGTTCCAAATGGGAAAGAAGACTTGAAAACATAAGTGGAACACCTTTCTCTTAGATACTGAAATATATCAGCTAATAGCAAGTCTTTTCACCAATTTAATTATTAATCAACTAAGTTTACCTGTATTACTAAGAAAAAATTATCTCTCATTTTAATTCTCAATCGGGCTCAACTTTCGATATAATAGTGTCTGTACGAGTTAAAAAAAGACTTTAATGCATACATAATACAAATCGAGAATTAAATTACTAGAATTAAGAAAATAGGAGCTAAATTTCGAAAATACAAAAGACTTTGGATATAAGGACTCAGAGAAGAATTAGGCATTTTAAAGCTGATAGATTTGCGAATGGCACCCACGAGGGTCGTAGACCCCACGCGGGTTTTGGGTTTCCCCAAAGTGTACGGCGTTTAGGATATGAGCTGGGACGGTGAAACTCAAGCTCTATACAAAAGCAAGTGAGGGGGATTTGTCGTGTAGTGCTTGCATGTGGCATGGTAAAGGGAATAAGAGCCAGGAAAAATGTACAACAGAGCACATGCAGCGGGTGGAAAGCTGTCTGGTGGAACAAATAGCCAAAATCCCCAGACGCCGTTGGGCGAGTGAGTGAGCTATGTTAGTCTGGACTCTGGAATCACCTGCATAAAAGTAAATAAATAAATGATAGAATAATCATCTATTATAGGATATTATTTTATTAAATTATTAGATTATTAAAAGTAATAAAATGATTCATCGATTAGGTGACTATAGATGACTGACTTGTTGAGTTACTCGTTTATTAAAAGTTATAAATTGATCATTTGAATATTTATATATTTTAAAATCATCTTTTTTCGTTAAAAAAACAACGATCGTCTAATTGAGATATGATAAAATATGATTTTAAAACTATTTGAGTTGTATTTTGTGGATCAAATATTCGTTTATATTAAGTCGTCAAATTAATGCTTGAAATCAATAGTAATACCCGTAGACATTATTAAAATATAATTTTATTATCTCTCAATTAAAATATTAATATCAACTCAAACAACTATTAAATTTTTAATAAAAAAGACAAATTTAAGATATATAAATAATTATTTTATATTTTTAATAATCAAATAATTAAATAAAATAACATCTCATAATCAAATATTATTTGTCTACTTTACCCATAGATAAAGTGGCAACAGAATTATAGGGAAAAGCACATGTGATCATATGGTTTTCTTGAGCAAAACACCTCCCATGTGCCTCCCGTCTCTGCTATGATCAATATCACTACCACTCGCATGAACGCCACGTGGTGCTATTGGGACCCACCCCCATATTATTATTAAAATCAATTGTGATAAGATACAATTAAATTAACAATTAAAGTATATTTAAATTTTTATTAATAATTAGAAGGTGATGTTTCCGAAGAGGAAACCCGTGGGAATATGCTTGTAAATGAACTGAACGTTCAGCGAACCGTTCATGAACCGTGCGGCGGGAAGTTCGTTTATGTGCGTTTATTTAATAAATGAACGAACATGAACAAGATTTTGTGTTCGTTTAATTAAATGAACGAACATGAACATAGGTCTCGTTCGTTCATTTACGTTCGTGAACGTTCGGTTATGTTCGTTCGGTTATGTTCGTTTATGTTCGTTCGGTTATGTTCATTTATGTCCATTCATTTATGTTTAACCTAATCTTCTTAAATCAATTTTGGTGACCAATTTGTAAGTATCTTAAAAATATTAATTAATATGATATTCTGATGACCAATTCCATAATTAACCCAATTTTATTTGGAAAATCCAATAATATTAACACAGTTTAGTTCTTTTTGAACGATCCATAAGCTGTATACCCAGCACCGTCAACATCTACTGCGCCGGAACCCTATGTGACTGCACCACCAGTTGGTTATCCGATGAGCAAAGAGGAGTCCCAGAAACCGGTTGCTTTCGAAACCAAGTCCAAAGGTGATGGATTCTGGAAGGGATGTTAAGTATTAAGCACTGTTTCTTCTACTCAAATAATCTTCTTTTCTTTCATATATAATGGAGTATTCGAATTTACAAGTAAATAGTGATCAACCAACAACTCAAGTCAGCTTACTTTGAACTCAAGAACCCAATAATGGTTAGGCCTTATTACATAGGTTGAGAAGTTCTTTAACGCGTTTCATCAAACAAATTTTGTGCACCATCCGGATATGAAAGTTTAGCCAGCCGAGAAAGAATGGTTTTTGATGTATGAGTTGGTGTGAACAATAAACCAACATACTTCTCTCATCTCCCAATTTTCAACTTCTACATAGCACAAAGCTAAGGACATGTTTGTTTGATCCCATGGATTAAGGTCGGCAATCACATGAAACACAATCTGTGTTCATCTCGACTGTTGTTGAAGGAGATAAGAAGAAAGAAAGTGGAGGAACGTTATGCAATCCGACATCAGTAGCAAACAAGCAGCTCGGGGTTGGTAACTTATATAAAAGAAGATGGGGGATAATAGGTTTAAGCATTTTTGCGCTTGGGGCAATGTCGAGCTCGGAATCGAGCTTGAATCAAGATCTTAAATTTTTTTTTGAGTTCGAGTCGAGTTTCAATATTATATTTCGAGTTCGAGTTGAGCTTGATAATTTTAAGCTCGCGAGTTTTCGAGTCGAGTCGAGCTGACTTTGAAAGTTTTCGAGTTCGAGTCGAGCTCAGCAATACTCGAGCTCGACTCGGCTCGTTTATACCCCTAGGTAGGGTCTCCAACGTTTATGTTCGTTTATGTTCGTGTTCATTTATGTTCGTGTTTGTTTATGTTCGTGTTCGTTTATGTTCGTTTATTTATTAAATGAACGAACATGAACAAGTTATATTCCTTAATAAACGAACATGAACAAAAAATATTTTGTTCGTTTATGTTCGTGTTCGTTTATGTTCATTTATTTATTAAATGAACGAACATGAACATACCTCCGTTCGTGTGCGTTCGGTTCGTTTACAGGCCTACGTGGGAAGTTGAGAGTGTCGGGCGTACGTGGCTAATCAGTAAAGTTCTACAGTACGATATTTTAATATAAGATTAAATAAAGTATTATTAATTTTATTATTATTTAAATAATAAAATTGATAAAAAAAATTACTTAAAATATTACTATTTTTATTTAAAACATCAATTTTTTTTAATATTTTCTGTAAAAATACCCAATAATAAAAAAATTAGTAGAAAAAAATAATAAAATCGGTAACGCTTTATCAAATTCGGTAAAGCGTCCAATAATAACAAAACCGGTAGAAATAATAATATTTTCGATAATTTTTAAAGGTTTTATTATTTAAATAATAATAAAATCGATAACATCTTTTTTAACCGTATATTAAGACTGCCGCACGTGATCATTTATCGGGTTCCATGTGATGACTGATCATATTACATCAAAACAAAATTTGATTAATTTATTCTATAAAATAAGATTTAATAACGAGATGGAATGAAATATCAAGAAATCGAATTTATAGACAAATATGATTATAATATGTTTTTGAAAATATTTATAGCAAAAACTTAAAGCATGGAATTATGGCCAAGTGCTTAGGCTACACTTGTGTTATGCATTCTTTTTGTTTTCTTTGGTCCTACACTTTTTTATTTCAAATTTGTTAATAAAAAATTTAGTGTCTTTATGTTAATTACAAATTTATTATGTAGTGTTTTTATTTTTTTATGCGTTGTTTTAAAAAAATTAGTGTCTTTATTGTTACAATAATATTAATGACAAACTTATTATTATAGTTTAATTTGTTTAAAGATTAAAGATTGTCGATTAAAATTGTAGAATTCGAAGTATTTTTAGATGAAAAAGACAACATGTTTGTGTTTAAGAGGTCAAAAGTGATGACTAGCATTGGGTGACCTTGGTTGAATTCATAGGTTAAATTGATATTTTATCTACAATTTAAGCGTCAAATTATTATTTTACCTAAATTTTAAAAATCAGATTAACATTTTACTTAAAGTTTACAAGTCATATAAAAAAATTAACTATTTTTACTGAAATACTACATTATCGAACTAATAACATTTAACATTACAATTATAAAATGTTGTAAATCGATAACATAAATGAAAAATATTATTTTTAAAAATCAATTACATAAATAAACAAAAATAATCAATTTGATAATTTTTCCTAAATTTTAAAAAAACTAATAAAAACACGCAATTTATTATAATAATAGTGAAGTGACCATCAAATTGGGTGAAAACCAAGTATATTGGATATTTAGGTTAAAGTATAGTCATGACAAACAAGTGTTCAAAACCTTGGGAAATATAATTGTAAAAGAAAGTATGCCTAGATACTCGATTATATCTTAAACAATAACAAAATCGGTATAAATAATAATATTTTCAGTCATTTTTTATCGATTTTATTATTTAAATAATAACAAAAACAAAACCGATAGAATCTTTTTTAGCCGTATATTAAGACTGTCGCACGTGAGCATTTCCAATCTATCTTAATCAAGTCACATATGATGTAACCTTAAGGCCATATCATATGTAAGTTGCAACTGCATACAAGCTCTAAGATTTACCTATGGCATGTGAATAAATTTGGAATCAATTTTAAAAAATTACTTTTAAAATTTAACTTGATCGAATTAAGTTGTTAAAGACATTCGATTATTCTTTAATAAAAAGAAAAGTAATGGCAGTACAAAAAATGATTAAGCTCAGGAGATCTTAATGCTCAAAGTATCGACCCAACACTGCAATAGAATAATTAAGGAAAGCCATAACAACAGCCGTAAGAGTTCCCGCAGGGGTATGTATTCTTCTTTTCATCCTCACTCTGCATTATAACTGTTTTTGCGCTCCGAACGAAACCAATCTTCTACCGATAAGCACGGCCACTGCTTGCTTTAGTCACTGCTTCGAGAAGCCTGTACATCCAACGATCTAGCATCCCTGTTTTGGTTGGCGCATAAAAGTGTCGGTTTATCACCCGAAAGTGTATGCGAAATAGCAAGAAAATTCTAACCAGTAAAATTGGAATTTGGTTTCTGCTTGAAACTCTAAACCTTTCAAATAGAGTGTTTATAAGTAAATTTCGATCATTTAATAGTGGCTGTATGTTGCAAACCTGTTAAAGCGAATGTCCCTCCCAATACTGCGCAAAGTCGAGTGATGAAATGGAGAAAGCTTCGGCGCTCTTCTTTTATTGTCACGGTGATTGGTGACAGATCATACAAAAAGTAAACAGCTGAACAGAATGGTAAAAGTAATTAGCAACTACTAGCAGAAGGTGCAAAACAAGTTGTGATGTTTACAAAGCCACACATCCAACTAACCAGGCCAAGTCCTATCAAACTCCTTCATAGGGGAAAAGTATTCGGATACGGAAAACTGATTTGTCGGCAAAACTTCCTTTGAGATATATCTGTACTCGGTAGGGACAATCTACAATACGGTGAAGACAACACTTGAATGAATAGAGATGTGTTGCTATTATACAGGACCGGAAGCAGTTCTAAAACTAATGCCATAGTTTATAGAGGAGAGAATTTAGTAGTAGAAACCTTTATGTAATACTTGAATGTTCCACTTGTGTCGTGCAAAATCCGCACTGTACCATCAAGGGGGTTGTGAAGTCCTGGATATTTTGGCCCAAATGATAAATCATGAATCACATGACTTACATTGACATGTGCTCCTCCTCCAAAGATCTGTGAGCAAAGAAAAACGGACTTCAACTTAATTTGCAGATAAAGGAAAAGCCATGTAGAAAAGAAACTAAATATGACAATATTCCAGATATCCTCAACACTGAAAGTGCCAAACAACTAATAGAGAAAATATTGTATATACAAACCTAGCACATTCTTGCAAGCTATTTTCAGAATTTTAAATTCTTCACTCTAGACAAAGTTTCAAATCTTAGGCTAGGCTTTCTCTTCAAGCTTGACAGCTCTTAAGATCAGAACGAGATACTTAAATTTGAAAGAAGATACCAAAATTTCTAATTAAAGTCATTCACAGCCTTTTTCCTTACGCTACTGGAATTTTTATTAAAAACTAAAACTGATGAAGTTCGCACATGAACACATTCAGAAATCACAAGCAGAACATTTAACATTATAAATTGAAGGAATAAAATAAAATAAAATGCTAGCTGAATACCAAAAGCACCTATATTGCCTAATAATAACGAAGACAATGGTTTGAAAAAACTAATACTTGAGATCATAGCCTACATGAGAAATAAATTTTGACATAAATCAAAGAGTTTTGAGGGTTTGATTGATAGTCATGCATTTGACCATCAATCAAACTTAAACAAGAACCTCCCATGTGCTATCACTACTCACACAGAAGCACTCTAACCACGACAAAGCTGAACGCATGCATAATTTAGGATATGACATCAAATTAGATCATTAAGAGGTTAATAACCATTTGAGCAACATAAATGTTTAACCCATGAACTGAAATGTGAAAGTTTCCTGCCACCCTTTGGACATCTAATACCCCATAAACCTGCACAAAATATAACATTTATAGATCAGTAGATTTTATACTCTTCCATTTTCGACCCTTTGGGGGGCCCAGAAGTAAAATATCATTGAATAGTTACAAAAGACTATAAATTTAAACTCTTTGGATAAATACCCGGCATCCTTCCCCATTGTCCAATGCTTGCTTCACCTTCTTGATCATACTTTCGGCATCTTGATCGAAGCCAAGTGCATGAAGCTTTTTCTCAGCATCATCATGATGTTCCTTCTCATCACCTGATCATATTTGCTACAAGAAATTAATAATTTAAGCCTTAAAATATCAGATTACAACCATTTTCCATCTCTATATATACCTCACATGAACCATAAATGACCTAAACAAAGTTGTAAAAATCTATATAAACAGATTTCTGCTTTAATGTATCCCAGAAGAAACAAGTAAACTCTCAGATTTATCTAAATAAAATCTGCTGAGCAATTTGGTCATTTAAGAAAAAAAGTTAATGATAAATAATCTAGAACTCGGAGAAGTGGTTAAAGCAAAGTGCTTATGACTCATTTTCGAAGTGACTCATATCTTTTATCGAAGGAGAAAAGTGGGGTTGTTTTAGCATTTCACGCCATCTTTATGAAAGTTCTACTGTTTTGTTTATGCTTACTCACCCCACCCAACCCTAAAAAATGGGAAAGAGAGAAAAGGAAAAGTATTGACTATCAGCAACATTGTGCAATGTGCAAACTATGTTGTGTCCTTGATACATATAATATGTCCAGGTAACATAACTACTCGTGAACATGGAAAAATCTAGTAAAAAGAAAAACTAAAACCCTTAGGTAGATGCACAAACCATGCTTGTGAGCAGCATGCTCCTTTTCCACAAGGTCAGACAAATATTCAGTGCCAATGATATGGCCATGACTGTTCAAGCGAAGCTGCAGAAGGTTTAACCTTGTTAGCCATATAACAAACATGGAAATCTTACCATAAATCCCAAATTCATTTCTAAATGATAAAAAGGAGGACCTTTTAAGAGAATGTCTGATTCATTAGTACAATGATTGTTAAAACAATAAAGTCTTGCTGAAAACAAAAAGTTGTCTTACTTTCCATATGTTAGTATCAAGATCCACCTCGTGCTTGCCTGACATGTCAATGGCATCCACACTTAATACTGCAAAAATAACATAATTAAACAGCCAACAGTCAATTTCTAAATGAGATTATCAGAATTTACAAATAAAAGGAAATTTTCATAAAAAAGAGATGTTCTAACCATCACAAGGTAATGAAGGAAATGTCATATTAACATGAATTGGAAGTGTTTCTCCACGTTTCAAGTCCACAGACATCTGCCAAATACCTGAGCAGTTAGATCAATTTACCTATTCTTAAATGTTCTCAAACTACTAATGACATCATATCTGGTTACAAAATTCCCTCAATGGTTAAATCAGACAGAAAGGTCGGAGAGGAAATAATTTTGTTACAGAACTTAAGCTTGGGTGCTTACAGTAAAAGTTTTCAGAAATGATGCCTTAATGGAACTTGAGGAAAGTTAGGCTTGGAGAATTAACGTTGTAGAACAGCAGAAGGATTGATGGTTTTTAAATAACGTTCAAATAAGTGGAGGCCGAGTTAAAAGGATTAGTTAAAATCTTATACATGATAATTGAATGCAAAAAATGTTGGAATTGTTGTAAATTGACCTTAGCTTGACTAATATTTGGCAGGTCAGTAAATTAAGTAGTTTAGGGGAACATATAGATGCGATTGCAGAAGATTATTACATAAAAATGAAAGCAAGTGATTAAAGCATTCATTGTGATGAATTAGAAACCTAGACAAAAGAGTATCCAACAAACTGCCAAAAGAATTGGACACAATACTATACAAGCATGTTTAAGGCAGTGAATACGTTTGTTTTAAACTTGTTCCCGGTGCGACTTCCCTCTATGAAAACCTTGGGAAATAGATAAGCTATTGACCCACAAAATCAAAATGTAAACATTTGAGAGTTGGTTCTATAACGTTCAAAGAAATTCACATAAGAGCAATGTCATTACTCCATCCAGGCGAATTAAACCACATAAAAATAGGTAGTAACCATAACTAAAACTACCAAAAAAATGCAAACCTGATGAACAGTATTCGTTGGAAGATAATAGGTAAGCTCGTGAAAGAACAGCGTGGCCATTATCACTAAACCAACGATGGAAACTATAACAATGAATTTTACCATTGAAAAAGAAAAACAATTAGTAGCGATTCAAATGAATGAATAGCGTCATTTTTTTAGTTAAATATAATCTAAAAATTGACAATTCACCTAGCGCTCCCGATTGAGTCTTCTGCAACAAATGTTCCTCCGTACGAGGAAACGCATCCAGACTTTTAATAGCTTGCTTCAAGCCCATCTTTCTTTCTTTCATATTTTCCTATCTCAGCCAAAAACCCAGGCAAAAAGTAAAATGAATTAATTAGAAACCTTAAAACATTTAAACCAAGCGTCGGTGTTCTAAACTAAGACAAATTGAAACGGAACGAAGAATTAGGGTTCGTTAGAAGCATAAATAGAAATCGAAATGGATTTGCTGTTAGAATTGGGCTCTCCAAAGCAAGTAATAATTAAAATAGACTAATAGTAGCAGATGAGGAACAATGAAATACCTAATAAGGAGATTTGTTATGGGAGAGCAGCTTCGAAATCTTCGCAAGGGGAGAGATCAATTTTCGCTGGCGGTCAACTCCGTCAGCAGTAGCCGCCTGGATTTTTACTTTTCTTTTGAGTTCTTACAATATTTCCAGTGGACAAAATGAATTTTTATCTAAGGATAAACTACACTCCTTATCACTAAACTTTTAAAACTATTTCAATTTTATCACCTAACTTTTAAATATTACATTATAATCATTAAACTTTTAATTTACTTTCATTATAAACACTATCATTAGCTACGGTTAAGAAATACGGACATGACATGTTAAAATTTTCTTTAAAAAAATGTCCTAAGATTCTAAGTTTGCATTCGTTTGGTTTTAATTTCTAATGAATGGAACGATCAACAGTTGATCCTAACGATAATAACGATTCATTTGGCCAAGAATTTAACGTATTTTGATTTTAAGTCGATTCGAAAGTTAGCAGTGACGGAATAAAAAAGTTAAAGCTTTTAATGATATATATATATATATATATATATATATATATTAAAAATCATATTATCTTTAAATTTAAAAACTTTAATCTCAATTGTTCGTGGAATATGAATTCAAATCATCAATGTTGTAGCTTGTAGGTCCAATTTGTCGGATGGATATAATCGGTAGAATAATTTGTTTAATAATAATTAAATGTTTTTTAAAAAATCAATAAAAATTATCTTTAAATTTTCAAAAACGGATTGATTCGTTGGGGGTTTTTTTAACTCGATTTTTTATTTTATTTTTTTAATCTCCAATGCCTTCAAATATTCGAGTTTTGCAGAGTATTTGTTGGGAAAGGCAATTAACATGATGGTAGGGTCAGTTGCAGGTAGGCAGTAGGATAAGAGTACATATACATGGATACATGTAGGTTGGTATCACTTAAACCATCTCCTAACAAATCATAAAATTAATGATTGAAACCAACTACTTAAACTGACGTCCCGAACCAGTTTCTGCAAAATCGCTATCCTGTTCCGAGTTCCGAGTGTGCTTGACCGGGAAAAGCCTCCGATTCGAGAGTGCTCATGGATCATAACCAAGAACAAGAAAAGGGCAATTTACGTGTACCAGGCATTGATGAAATACTAATGGCTCGGGAAATGCCAAAGGCGGTGAAACCAATCAGTACTGCAGCTGGTGGTGAGAACGTTAAGCGGCCTCAGGGGAGACAGGAGTGTTGGTAATGCTCAATCCCACATAGTGTTGGAAACACTATTGGGAATGGTATTTAAGGCTTGACATTCCACTTCCTTGTTGAGTGATAGAGAACAAGGGGGGCTCTCGTGCACCGCCGCCGCCGTCTCGGCTCGGCACGGCTCGGCTGATTTTATGTTCATTTAATAATGAATTAATATTAATATAGGTATGCATGATTCGTTTATGTTCACAAATAAACTCGTTTATTGCTTCGTTTACAAGTACGTTTATCGACTCGTTTATAAGCTCATTTATAAATTCATTTATCGACTCGTTTCCTCGGTTCTCATTTTCTTTTTCTTTTTTATATTTTAAATATTGATGAAGTTATGGACTAAATTGAATATGAGGTGAACTTTGGAGTTCAAACTATAAGTCTAAGAAAATAAGGACCAATGGCATAATATCACTATTTTTCTTTGGCTTACAAATAAAAGAACAAAAAGAGAGCGTTGGTTGCCTAATGTTAAAGGAACATTAAACAAATATGTTCTCAAATGTTGAATGAACATGTTCGCAAACGTTAAATGAACATGTTCGCAAACGCTAAACGAACATAAACACCTTCAAAACTAAATAAACGAAAACAAACTAAACATTAACACTATAAAAAATAAACAAACGAACACAGTTTTATTCATTCAAGCACGATTGATTTACACCTACTGATACCATATATTTATTTGTCCAATCCATATGTTTTGTGATACAACAATGTTTACTTGTATATATATATATAGCGTATATATAAGATTGCAACATGTATTTCACAAGCTTTTTTACTTTACATGGTATGATCAAGGGAAGCTTCATCCAAGCTTTATTTGAAACTATAACCCTAAAGAAGTTAAGAGGAAAATAAAGAAAGATACAACCTTCTTTATTGAAACAAAACATTATAAGATATCATAACTTCACAAACAGTGCTACCCTTGAGGATGTTCTGCTTCACCCCAGATAACTTCACCTATCAAGTCTTTGAAGATCAACCTCTCCACATCTAATACAACCCCTGGAATTTCTCTCTTGCAATCAGCCCAATCCATTGATCCGATCGTCAAATCTCTTGATATGATGCTTTGCAGACTGTCAGCCTCATCATCCAAGCTTATAATTGATGGAGTTTGTAAATTATCTGTTTTTGAACATAAATAGCTTACTGCCTGCTGTCTCTTTGGTTTTCTCATAATAATTTCGTTAACTGCCTCTAATAGAAGCTGTTTGTTATTCAGATCTGCTTCATCAGCAATAAGACCCTCATAATCTGTGATGACAGAAAATGAAACGAATTCAATCTGTAAACTGTCTAAGCGCTGTGTTAGACGGACTAGAGGGTGTCAAATACGAGTACGTGTATCAAGGACACGAGCATAACCTTTAAAGGCATTTGATTTTTTCTTCACAGGAGACGGTGATTCGTCTCCATAGAATGTGGCATCTAGAACAGAGTCCGGGCTAGGTTGTTCCATGACTGTACTTGGAGGTTCTGTTGTTGCATTCTGAGTTGATAGAAATGTAAGCTGATTAAAAGATGATCAAACTATTATATGAATGAAATGAAGGAAGAACGCTTACTTTATGAATTTTTTCCTGTTTTTGTAAGACTGGTCTCTCCATCTTATAAGATCTATCCGTGCATGTGGCTGCACTGATATTAGCATCTCCTTGCGAATTGTGGGGTTTATTCCCGGATTTCCAATGTGTCAAGCCTGGTTCTGTTTGTAGTCTGCTTGATTGCCTTCTGCTTATGCACTGACCTGATGCTGGAAAAATTCGACGAGGTTTTTCTGATTCAAGCTTCTTCTGCTGCAGTTCAAGGCGTGCGGTCTCTGAGCTCGTTGCCAGCTTTGGGTTTTGCTGAGCAATAGGTGGAAGCTCTTTTGAAGTTTGGCTGAATCTTAGAGCTCTGGAAGTCGTCTTATCCCTCGATTGGAGGCGGCTTGAAAGATCCTTAGGAGAATTAGGTCTTAGAGTTAATTCATTATATGGTCGCTTGTCAATCTTTTCATTTCCGGCAACTGCAGGGCTACTACTGATACGAATTCTACTTAAACTGCCTGCTCCAACTGCTAATGAACAAGAATTGCTGGTATTATCCATGCATTTTGCTGGTTTTATAACCTTTACATGGGATTTAAGGTGTGTTTGAGTACTAGTTCCCTTAACAATGGCAGAAACTGTATTGCTGTGTTGTACCTTTCTCAAATTGGGTGCTTCTGAGCTCTGACCAAGGATGCTGTTTGTGTGAGATGCAAAATTTGAAGCTTGATCGTCTTTTCTGGTCTCTATCATCTGTTTAGACTTCTGCATTGCTTCAAGTATTTGTTTAAGTGCTCTGAGATCCTTTCCTGACTTTTGGAACTCGAGTTCAACCAACCTTTTCTCGATTTCACCATAAACAGTTAGAGAGGCGTTTTGGGCTATAGGTGGAGTTTCTCGACTACACTTCAAAGCCGGTGTTTGATCTCTGCTTCCATCCATATGCTTCCAAGGGGCCTGTTCATTGGGACATCTAGTTGCAACAGGTTTCCTTGAGTCTGCATTTATCAAATGAGGTGAGCTGGGTTCCTTCTTTGAATTTCTTGGAGAACAAGAAACTTGATTTCTCTTATTCTCATTGAATCTCGATAAGAGTGAAGCGGGATCATCTTTCAGATCCTGACTAGTCTTGATCCGGAAACATCGATTCCCATGGATTAGCATAGGGTCTGGAAATGTTTCTAACCCCATCAACTTGGCTACAACACTGGATGGTCCTTTGCAGCTTCCAGTTTCTTGTTGTTGGCTTCTTGTGTTTAGCTCTCCTAGAAGGAACTTCGATTTCGTATCATTTGTTGAAACTTTGATGGAGACATCCCTACTACCGAGCGACAACCTTGGCTGATCCTTGAGCTTAACTTTAACCCCATCGTGCGATCTCCTCTCATCGTAAGAGAACCGACAAGCATCCCTTGGCACGAAAGCGAGTGAACCATCCTTGCATCCGTCGGCCGTTCTAGGCACTTCTCGAAGCTTGGAAAAATCATGACTTAATTTACTGAGACTGGTGTTCCTTGTCATTGCAGGCTTTAGTGACTGCAAGGGCCTCGGTGAATCTATGTACTTCAAAATCTGGTGCTTCCCTGCAGCCTCTTTCGTCCTAGTTTTAACAGATAATCCGCCAGATTCTCTGTAGATGCAGTCTTTAACCATATTTCTAAGCTCAACTGAACGTTGGCTTGACTGCAAAGAAACCAGCGGTTTATCATTGCATATTCCCTGCTCCGGGATTTCACGAAAACCGGTTTGGCTTGACGAAGATCGATGTCGATCAGCTCGAGATGCTTTGGTGCAGTCAGCTGATGAGTAACTCGATGAACAAGTGGAGGACGAAAAGGAAGTTCGGGGTGATTCGGAGGACAATCTTTGTTTCTCTTTCTCAGCTGTTTTGAGATTATTTCCATGCTTCCCATTTGAACCTAGACAAATAATGAATATCAGTAAGTCGCCAAGGGAAAAAAAAATCTAATTATGTATTTCATCCCCTCACTTTACCAACTCTGATTTGACAGAATTTGACAGAAAATTAAGAAATTAATACAAGCACCTGAATTCAAACAATTAACTTTCACTAATCTGTTGCATATAAATTATTAATCCTCTACGTATTAATTGGAATAACTTCTCCATTTTCGGGATGAAATTTACAATTTTACGTAGAAAAACTATAAAAAAAAATAGAAACAACCAAACTGGTTTAGTCTACATTATACAATGTTATAAGCAAAAGGTTTAACTTATTTTCAGAAGAAGAAACAATGGCTAGTAATTGCAGAGAGCTAAATTACCTGGTAAAACGCCTTTGTGGTTCGAAGTGGCAACGCGTGGGCTACCAAGAAAATGGCGAAACAGTCCATTAATGCACCCAAATTGCTTCTGCAAATCTGGGTTTCCATCTGAATGCATCAACTTTGCAGGCATCTTCACTTTCTGGCTTCAACTTAACCAAATGTCGAACATGTTACGTGCATTGGCAGAAACCATATGAACTACTGTTCAAAAGGCTAAATATATATATGAATTATGTATCTTTGCAATGGGATAAAACGTTTTCTTCCTTGGGCTTCGCAGAACAATGGCAGACAATATCTTCTGCCACAAAGCTGGGAAAGAACAGACACAAATGAATGGGAAAATGGGACCTAACGAAACAAACCAACAAATAAAAGTCGGTTTGCCTTTCGCCTATCTCCACGGAAATGGCAGCTAAGAGGCTTCGGAGTATTTAACAAGAGCGATGATAGTGTTATTATATTAAAATTAAGAGTAAATATACCACTGGGTTTTAGATTATATATCATTCATATTATTAAACTTTTAAGTCTTTAATTATAGTATTAAATTTTAATATATTTAAACTTTTAATTTCTTTAATTATAATATTAAATTTTGATAAATTTAACGAGTATTTTTAGTAACTAAAAGAGTATTGTTTGAATGCGTGTTTTCAACAGCTAAAATAGATTCTGAACATATATCATATTTAATTATCTCAAACTATTAAAAAATAGTAAATTTTGATTTTAAATTCTATTATACCATTGACGATGTGGACAGAACCACGTCGTTTTGGTGACGATATTTATGTCCAACAAAACGTTATTTTAGATATTGAATTTCAAGTGTATTGATTTTATCATATTTGATGCTGTATTTTTTCTACCTCCACCAACAATTAATATTTATTCATTATTAATTAAATTTTAGAATAAAATTAATATCACGATGATTATATTTTTTATTTTTCAAAATGGAACTCAAATAAAAATGATGGATATGTTAAATTTTCAAAATTGTATAAGGAGATAATGACTGGGAATGGGTGGGTCAGACTCCATGTGGACTGCGGAGTCCGGAGGTTTCTTCCATGAGAGCATGTGGAGTTTGTCGGACAGCATCATCAACAAATAACTTGAAAATTGGATTTATTTTATGTACGTAAAAAGAAATCCAACCTTTTTTTTATATCTATTTTATGATTTATATTTCAATTTACCAATTTATTACTATTTTAAGAATATCATTTTCAAATTTTAAATTTAATTCAAAAAATTATAGGAGTAATATATCCTAAATACCATAAATTTATGGACCATCATTAACATTTTAACTTTCCATTAGATACCCCTCCTGGACTTTGATCTATCATTGATAACAACATAAATATACATTCAATTACTTTCTATTATTTTCATATTCCATTTTTTTTTTGTATAACCATCGGTTTTTCATATTTCGTTTTTTTAATTAACCAATAATATTAGATTTATTGATCAACTAATTTAGATTGAGTTGTGCACTGACCCATTATAAAGGATATTCTCTTAATTCAATTTGTTTCATTCGTAAATACCGAATTGAAACCCTTAACCTTACTTATATTCCATTTATAACACTTAACAAGTTTGGCTTTTGAACTTTTATATTCTTTTTATATAACAACAAATTAATTGTAAATTATATTTTTAATCATTAAATTTTAATCATATATTTATTTTGATAGTTAAATTTTAAAAATTTTAATTTGATCACTAAAATTTTGAATGATTTTAATTTTTGTCACTTTTTGTCACTCGGGAGCTAAATAAAAAATAATATGTTGACGCTGATTTTTTATTGACGTGGAAGTCTCCACAATTTTTCTGCTTTTTTTCATTTTATTATCTTTCCAACAGTTTCAAAACTCTTAGAGTTTCATCTCAATCCCATGTCGTCGTTAACACTGTCATCTGTACATCATTTTCGACCACTCCAAACATAGATGAACTTACCTCATCATCCTTTATCAGTCTATCGGTTCAGATTTTTCAAAAAGAAAAAAATCTCTTTAAACTTGTGAAACTTCAATCCAAAACTTTAAGGAAAACAACTATGATCTACGATCATCATCGTTCAGTTTGGTCACCACAAAATAAGGTATATTGTTAGTCTCATCATTCTTTACCTCTCTACTGTTAGAATTTAAAAGAATATAGTTCGATGTCATAAAATAAAATAAAAATCTAAAAGCTGGATTAAAATTTTGAAAATATATATATGAGCCTTCTCACAAATTATAGGTTTATTATCAGTACCAAATCAAAAATGTTTTTCAAAAGTTGAATTTTATAACTTCTTACTTTTATCAAAAGTATGTGTGAGTAAACTTTTTATATATCCTCATTTATACCATCATTTTTTCATATTTTTAAAAAAATATATATAAGAATAATTCTATCAATAAAAATGTATATTTTAACAAAAAACAGTAAATATTTATAATTTAAATTAAATAATTTAAAAATACTTTTTCACGTCACTTTCAAAGAAGAGGAAAAACAAGGAAAAAAGATACCCTAACTCGAGTTTTATTAATGGAAATGAAACCTTGGGAAGTGATATTGCTTGGACTATCATGGAATGATATTAAATTGAAGAGAAGAAAAATAAGGATGCATGATTGATGGTGATGGATGGGGGTGCACAAACACATGCATAAAGCGAGAGAATCACATGAAGGATGGCTACATTTCGTAAGGCAGGCAAGGACCAAATATACCAACTAAGCCATTAGTATTATCACCATCCTAAAACTAAAATTGCTTCCCAAAATAATAATAATAATTATTTATTTGTTTCATTATAATTTATAACGGGATAAAATCTGATTACATTATATAAAACTCTTTTAGTTTTATATAAATTTAAAATTATTAGATAAGTAAAAATAAATAGTTGAGTTTAGTAGTAAGAAATGATAATATATTTACTGAAAAAAAATAATGAGTTAATTTCAGTCATCTATTTTTATTCATCAAACGGTTTTAAATCTGTATAAAACCAAAAGAGTTTTATATCGTGTAATTGGATCCTAACCAATTTGTACGGTTACTAACGATACAACTATAATTAGATAATAATAATAATAATAATAATAATAATAGTATTTTTCAACAACTTAGAAAGGGGAAGTTCATGCTGTCATTTTAAGTTGTTTCATAAAGGAGCCAAGATAGTTTGAGCATTAAACAAGGGGAGAGTACATAGGTTTTCTTGATGGATTATTCATTTATAGTTGCCATCCAATAAATTTAAAATTTTTAATATCGTTTTATTATTTTGACTAATATTTATTATTAAATTTAACAAATATTTTAGATCGGTTGATGTCGCACGTCATGTCATAAAAATAATTCATTAGCTTAATTGATTTTCTTTTAATTTAAAGATTTCACACACCCACTACTTTTTAAATAAAGATTCTCAAACTATGTCTTCCTTTAGAAGTAAAAAAAAAAATTCAATAACTTGAAAAGGGAGGTTCATGCTGCCAATTTGAAGGTGTTCAGCTAAAGGAAGGTTGGGTGGTGTGAACCTTAAGGGTAGAGCTTATTTGTGATTTTGAAGTGCATTAAAAGATAAGATTTAATTACGGATCTTAACCTTAGCACGTAAGAATCCCTATATGAAATATTAATGAAATGGAAAATTTAAAGGGGTTATGCATGTAATTTTCTAAAATCAATTCCATATTCTATTATATTAAACATTTATATGTTAGAAGTTATAAAAGTATACATAAATCAACTTATCAAATAACCTTAATTATTAAAGAAATATTATTCTCCTTAAAGATCTTAATTCAAGTAACTGTATATGCGGATGTGTAAAAAGCATCAATGGTGAAAGATTTTAAATAGACGTTACCTTCCACCTTATAATAGGCTAATGTAAATGAATTTTCCTTTATATGAATTAAAAATCGAATACAAATATTAATTGAGAAAATTTCAATCGATTAACCCAACATTCTTGACTTGCTTACTACCATATCTTGATGAATCGGATATGGTTAGGAATGCGTCATCTTTAGAAGCCAACAATAGAGTATTGTTTCATTCCTTTGTCCTTTATCCCTTTGTCGTCGATATAGTATTAGAGCCACCGTCTTCCAACATTTGACATCGTATACGGTGGTGGTTGTTCATCATCTGTTCACATTCTTACAAGTCACTGACCGGAGAGATCTATGGATGGCACCATGGTCACGCCAGGAGCATATGAATAAATTATGGCACAAAAAGGAATCAAATCATGAATAAACACTGCGCACCGTAAAGAATAGTGGCACAATTGGTAACCATTGAATATTCAATCGGCTAGGAGATCGAGTCCCGACGTAAACGAGCCCTTCTTCCCCGTCAGAAACAAATTTTCGAGAACTATTGTCTAAAAAAACCATGCTAAACCTTGTTTCAATCAATTGATTCAAAACTAACAGCCAAGCTGTTCTACTCGAGAATGAACGCATACGTCAAAAACTTCGCTGTAGAAGCCCCAGTCATGGCTTCTTTCAGTAATAGCTACCTGACCAAATGGGTTTTGCTCTATAAATTTCTGTACATTCTCAGCTGAATCTAATCTTTCCAAATAAACTCTAAGATCACCACCGATGCCTGAAGAAATAAATACGAACTCAACAAGATAGTCAACAGAACATAAACCGAACTCAATAACATTAAAATAATTTCAGAAATCGTCTTACCTAATGAATTATCATTCATTCCGAATTCGAATGGATGAGGAAATATTGCAGTATGTGGCTACAAGATCAAACAATAGCAGAAAACCGTAAACGATGATCAGGATCTATTTGAAAAGACAAAGGAAAATATTGGGGACATAAACAGAAAATACAATAGTCGGTTTACTTACGGGATTAAGCAGTGCTTTGTAGGGAGAATCATCTATCAATAACGTATTAGATTCATCATAATATCCCATCTCCCATGGAAGATCGGGATCGGTTTTTCTCCAAATCTTCCTCAACTCTTTAAAAACTAAGGGCTTATATCTATTCCCGGGAGTTTTGAATCGTGTTGCAGTGCAGTGAGATGCATCCTAAACAATCATTGCGGGCATAAAGCAATTGGATCAGAGTTGCAACATTCAAGTTAAAATGCACATGAAAATAGTGTTTGATGCAAAAATCAGTGAATGGGAATGCTTGATTTTTTCTAACTTAATCCATGTTACCTAACCCTCAAGGTAAGGAAATCAAATTTCGTTAATTGGTAGGGCATCAAAAAGCACGGTGTTTCTTTAAAATACATAGGAGTCGTACAATGGCTAGAAGAATCAATCTGCACTTGCTGGTGATCAACTACCGATCTGGCACCACGCAGGGCCTTTATTTTTCCTTTCATACGAAGCAAAGGTCAAATAGCTAGAAGATTAAATTGATACTATCGTTGGAGATTAACTATCAATCTTGTCTAAAGTCAGCTAGATCATGTTTTAGGTATGGATAATAACATGCAATGGTAACAAAGATGTTCTCAGAACATAGAAAAAAAGCAGAGAATCCGTTATATTTACCCAACAGAAAAGCAACTTTTGTTTCATATCTCCCAGCAAAATATCAACGACTCTTTCCAAGTTTTTCCTGAAAAAGGTAATTTGATCAAGCAATTAACAGTAATGTATCGATGCTCAATGACAACGTTTGAGCACTAAGAAAGGCAATCGAATGTTCGTTTCTTCTTGGAAAAGTACCTGTTTCGTGAAGACCAAATACCAACTTCGAACCTCTCACAACAAAACCTAAAAAAATCGTCGTAGAAGGATCTCTTAAAAACTGGAAAACAAAAGAATTTCACAATTAGTTTTTAAATAGTTTGTACATAACATTAACATGAGCAAATAAATTTCTCAGATAACAAGCTTCTTACCTGCTCGTCCTGCAAAGCGTGCATCTGCTTTGTAATTCTTTGGAGGACGAGATACTATATCAGCAAGCAATCCATTCACATCGAGAACAAGAAGTTTTTTCCTCAATTGAATAACAGGAGTCTTAACGAAAGCAACAGAAACATCGTTTGTCCCGTTTGCATCAAATGAATCACTATCTTCTCCACTAATTCCATCATCCGATAAAGTTAGAGTCGAGATACAATTCATTAGATCAGTCTTGGTAGGACCAACTTCCTCAGGAAGCTTATCAGTTCGACCTTCACCACTATCATCCGAGGAACCAGGTTGCTGCTTTTCCATCCTTTTCCAAAACTCGGTTTCCCTTTCTATAAACGATCTTACCTCTGTCGGCACCAAGTCCTTGCCTATCTCTAAGCTACACAAAGAATCAAACTTAACAGCATAACATAGGCAATGTCTGTTACGAAATGCTCAAGTAAATTCTGCTAAAATATTACATCCCAAACCTATGTTACTCGAACTCGAGTACGAGTAACAGATGTTCAAATTTCCCCAAACCTTCTCATATATTTGGGGTTCATATTCTCATATCATATCCCAATATCCCCATACTCAAAACCCTTCTAAGAACAAAGAATTAAATCTTAAGACACAAAGGAAAGTTTCACAATCACGAATTCCGAACATAGACTACGAAACCGACATGAAATATACAACAAGGGTTTAAAAAACGATTGCAAACAAACATACAAAATTTCTTCATGCACACATAAATGAACAAGGAATTAGCGGATTCCAAGTTGTATATGTTTGGGTATAACCATGAAGCTAAACCAAAATATGGAGTAAAGAATCCCAAAAATCCTTACAACGGCTATGCAACAAAGATGAAGATACGATTAATAACTAATTAGAATAAAATTAGCATGGGATTAAAATACCCAGGAGATGATTAAAGAGAGAAACTACCTTTGGGAGTCAACCGCCAACTTCGAAGAGAGATGTTCTTTGTCCACAAGACAAGAATCTTAAACGACAGACATCTTATAAATCTTTTCGCTTGTCTAAAATGGTTTTGTTGTGGATTCAATTGGGCTGGGTTTTGAGTTCCCAATCCAAAAATAAAATCATTCTCTTCCCATGACCCACCTATGAACATCATTCTGTGAATTTTTTAGAAAAAAATATAAATTGTGTATTCTAATTTTTTTTGAGTGTTTTACGATAATTTAATCTGTATCGTTAATATTTTTTATTGATAATATTAACATAAATATTTTAATTTTTTAAATAAATAAACTCTTTTGTTATCTAAGAGAACATCCAAGTTTACATTTTATTCTATAGGTGGTCAACAATTTTTAATTATTTAATGTGTAAGAATTATCTTTAAACATATGTTATATTGTATTTATCTTATACTAATAAAAAAAACTTGTAATAGGGTGTGTGAAGAGAATGAATAAATTGAGAATGAGATTAAATTTTAATATTTAAATGGATAATTATTTATAAATTTCAATTTACATTTAAAATTTTATTTGTATTTAATTTATAATTTATTTTTTATTTTTATTTTTATAATGTGAAATTATTTTTTTGAATTAATTATTGGCGTGTGATCTATTGATTGACCAATCCAAATCGGGTACTAATGATGATAACTTTAAAATATTGTATAAGACATATTAGTTTTGTTTGCTCGCTTAAAAATTTCATTTTTTAAAATTAAACTGTTAAAGGACTTTGAAATTTTTGTTAAATAATGTAAAAATCTATAAAATAAAATAAGTTTATTAAAATAAAACCAAAACTCAAAATTAATATATAAAATAATTATCAAATTATTTTTTAAAATAGTCATAAGTGATTACAAAATAAAATATACTTAGAGTTTTTTCAGTCCATCAACAACGCGTACACACAGCTGTTCGAAGTTAGATCCTTTAATTAAAATAATAATACATTTTATTATTAAGATCAATCGAATTAAAATGAATACTTCAAAAATGAAAAAAATACCCTATCAAACTAAACAGGTGTCACAGAAATATAACTTAGACTTTCGTTATATGTAATTATTTTCATATCTTTAAAAGGAAATTAATAAAATAGGAATGGTAACAGACCACAGTAAGCAAGTTAATGAGCTGCTATGTAAAACATTAGTAATTTGAAAACACTTGTGTCCTTGATGAATTTCTTCCTTAGAAAAATTATGGTATTTTTTATTAGTATGGGAAAATTATAAAATAATATATATTTAGAATTTTCTTAATGTATTGACAATATATATACACCCAACAAATATAATTGTTCATACTTATTATCTTAAAATAGAATAACATTCTATTTTACTTTACCACCGGACATATTTAATAAGTTTAAAAAATACGGCATTTTAACTCAACGTACAAGAGGTATCACGTGTCACAAAATGATCATGATTAGGGATGGGCATGGGTCGAGTTTTTGGTCCACCCGACCCGAGAACAAGGAGTCCTCCACCCGATACCCGACCCGACCAAAACAAGTTTTCACACGACCTTATATATAACTTAAAAATCCGACCCGACCTGAAATAATCAAAAATATTTTTATTCAATAAAAACAGTTACTTAATTGAAAAAAATAATATATAGATAGGTGTTATTGTAATTATTCATAAATATATAGGGTGAAATTATATATTTTTTCTGGGTCGGGTCGGCCGTTTTCACCCTAAACCAAACCCGACCCAACTCGAACCCGGTTTTTTTTTTTAAAAAATCCCCGATTAGATCGAGTCGAAACCCGTCGGATTCAGATCCCATGCCCATCCCTAATCATGACACGCCCCTTGCATCAAGTGAACTGCAAGAGATTGGACCACAAAATCAAGCGGCTCAAAGGGATTTATGAGTTGGTTAGGCATAGCTGATTCTGTTACTTTGTGATCCCTTTAATAACCATTATATCAAAGGAATTTTTTTAATCGCATTAGATCTAATGATCGACATGAATAGAACATATTCTTTTGATTCAATACAAATTTAGAGATATGCGATTTAGTCCAATAATCATACACACATCCATTTAAATTTTACTCAATTTATATATTTGCGTAGTAATTTTGATTTGCCGCAATTTGGATATTACTCTAAATAAATACCTCGGGGAAAATAGAAAAAGGGTAAAGCGTGCCAATTACCGAGTGTATGAATAGAACATATTCTTTTGATTCAATACCAATTTAGAGATATGCGATTTAGTCCAATAATCATACACACATCCATTTAAATTTTACTCAATTTATATATTTGCGTTAGTAATTTTGATTTGCCTCAATTTTGGATATTACTCTAAATAAAATACCTCGGGGAAAATAGAAAAATAAAGGGTAAAGCGTGCCAATTACCGAGTGTATAATTGCTTACTAGGATCATGTGCACATCATGTCTGCCATGATTATTCAAACCCATGCTTTCTTTCCACTTCATTCAATAAATTATTTCTCACTTTTCCCTCTCAACGTCACAAAAGATGTTCTCTTGCTAATGGAAACCACGTGCTAATACAGTAAAGTACATAAAAATTAATGTTAAGGGTGTGAATTTAGAAAATTATATTATATAATAACACAAACTTATAAATATTTTAGATGTAACAATAACACAAAAAACGTATAAATACGATATAAATCTACGAATTATTGAGATTAACACAAACTTTTGATAACTAGGCAACATATGGGCATTAAGTTAAGGAATTGGGTACCAAAACAGTCAAGCCATTCAGAAAGCTTAAAGAATGAGGAAGCAAGTGGGAAGTTTACTCTACCAAGTACATGTAACATGTGCACCGCATGACCAAAAATAGATTTCATAATGATAATGTAATCTGTTGGTCAGGCATAAATTAATGTGGACTTGAACTCAATGATCACAACTAAATTTGTGCTTGGTTTTCCCTTTTTAACCTCGCATTGTATTTAATACTAAAAGTGCGTTTGGTTCACGAAATAAGTTACTAGTGTGAATAAAATATTACCAGTGGGAATAAAAGATTACCAGGGAATAGAATTACTGAGAATGTTGTATTTTGTGTTTGGTTGGTTTAGCATGAATGTAAGATTACCGTGTTTGGTTAAATGAATAAAAGATCATTAGAATGTATATTTGACCAAATTGTTCTTGTTATATATTTATTTTTTAACAAGTTTGAAAATATTTATGTATTTTCTTTAAAAATTTAAATTCATAAAATTTATATAATTTTTTTACAAAATTGAAAATATAAAAAGGTTTAATGAAAGGGTAAAATTTTATTTTAACCCCTGAACTTCATATAAAATTTTAATTATAGTTTTTTTTTTTGTAAATCTAAATAGTTTAAAGATAAATTTATAATTTAACATTCGTAGAATTTTATTATTCAATGATAGAATAAGGATATTTTTGAAAGTAAATTTTTAAGGGTATTTTAGTCCAAAACGCCGATAATCCAACAATACCTAAGGAAAGAGATAATGACATTCTCGTAATATACCTAAAAATCCACTATTGATAATGTAAGATTACCGGAAATGACATTCCCGACCAACCAAACGGGGAATGTGGATTCAATTCCAATAGAAATCTCACATTCCCCCAACCAAACACACCCTTAATGGATTTCAAATACTAATTTAAGTAAAAAAAAATTATATTTTAAGAGCAAATTTAAGTACCCAATCGTATACAAAATTTAAATACTAAAGTGTATATTGTAATCAAGGTTTCGCCTTGATTAATTCGGATCGATCCGCGTCATACACCTGGTTTTGGAGGGTGGGTCTTCCAGTAAGGAATAACTCGAATTCAAATCCTTACTTAAACGATATCAAACTGCTCACAACTTGAATTGACCCCGTTGATTAATATATTTATTTATTGATTTTAACCTTTAAATGTTAATATTTTTATTTGATATATCATTATCACGTAACTTATTATGATTTTGACATATGACATTTATAACATTTTTAAAACAAATTTTAAAAAGAAAATTAAAATTTAAACAATTTAAAAAAAAATAAACTTCTAAAAAGTATAATGTAAAATATGATATAATATATGACATCAATTAATAAACAATTATTAAATTTAACTAACAACATAATCAAAATATATAAATTTAAATTATTAATTTAAAAAAAATATTTATCATCTTTAAACCAAAAGATAAATATATCTCTTTTGAAGACAACATCCAATCATTACTATAGTCTATAATTCATCATGATCTAAGAAGAAGTTTAAAAGTTACAAACATTTAATTCAACGTTATTCACACAATCGCTTAATTTTGACCAATTGAAATGATCTCACGATGCATACATGTTCAATAACACCTTTTTTATGTGTATAATATATAAACGTCCGAACATTAAATTTTAAACTATAATATATATATATTCTATTTTTGATTTTAATTTTAATTTTTCATCAAACAAATTATATTATTAATTTTTTAAATAACATCAGATAAAATTTAAATTTCAATCTCTAATAATTAATAAGTGATTAAAAATTACTTTTGAAACCATTCACATTGATAAAAATATACAATATATTTTACTTTTTAGTAAAAAATCCTTGAAAAAGATTAACACTCACTATAGTTATTGGAATCTTCCTAACATATTTTTAATGGAACTTCCAATTTATTTATTTATTTTAATTCTCTAAAGCGGAAAGAGATCGGTCTCACTTCCTGTTTGGAATGACGGAAAAGTTGTTAACCGGCCCGAAAGAAAAGTTCCCCTTGAAATTAAAGAAGTGTGATTCTTTGTAAAAGTTTAGGTTAAATTATACATTTAGTCATCTAACTATTTCAGTGTTTTCATTTTCGTAAGTTTGACTATTTCCTTTAAATAATACCTAATGTTGCGCTTTTATTTTATTTTGACCACATGTTACAAAAATTTAACAGATTTACTGACATCATAATTTTTACGTGACATCATCTTACGATGACAAATCAACATCATCATTAATTTATCAAGATATAACTATGCATATTTTACCAAAAAGTTTATAATAAGAGTGATAATCTATAATATTTAGTAAAAAATATTATTCTTTGAATTTTCAACGAAAAATTTGCTCAAATAATATATTGAGAAAAATCTCAGATTAGGTATTAGAATATTTTTTTCCATATAGGATCACTATTATAATATTTTACTAAAGACATTCGAATCACCTGGTGACATCTGAGAAGATACAGAGTATCCGATGATTTGAGAAGACGTAGGATCACACGACAACTTTCTCAAGATGCATGCATGCTTGCAAGCTAACATTTGAACATTGTTTTTCCAAAAACGTCAAATAATCTGAATGTGTTTCAGATGTGGTCAAACAATTCAGACGTATTTTATAATGTAAAAGTCAACTTTTTTAATCCATGGTATAAACAAATTCTGTTTTTCCCCTATTATCTAAGTAATTTTACAAAATTTAAGACTTAATTAATATTTTATTTAGGAATTAATATTTTACTATTTATCTATAAAAAGAAAGAAAATGTCAATAGTAATCGAACTCAATTAGGGAATAATGATATTTGAAAAAAAATAAAGATTTAAAGATGGTATAAATTTAATTAGAGGATCAACAAAATCGTGTCTAGATAAACAACTTTGATAGTGTAATTAAGAACATATTTAGTAATAATAATAAAATAATTATATATAGATATAATATAGATATGGTAGTAATTAGGCAATTTACACTTGGGGTGCGTTTGGTTAACGGAATGTAAGATTACCAGTGGGAATAAAAGATTACCAGGGAATAGGATTACTGGGAATGTTGTATTTTGTGTTTGGTTGGTTTAGCAGGAATGTAAGATTACCGTGTTGGTTAAAGAATAAGATTATTGGAATGTATTTGACCAAATTGACATTATTATATATTTGTATAATATTACAAATTGTAAAATATTTATATTTCTTTAAAAAAATTAAATCATAATATTTGTATTTTTTTACAAAATTAAAATATAAAAAAAAGTTTAATGAAAGGTAAATTTTTTAACCCTGAACTTCATATAAAATTTTTAATATAGATTTTTTTTTTGTAATCTTAAATAATTTAAGGATAAATTTGTAATTTAACCTTCATAGAATTTTTATTATTCAATGACAGGAGAATGATATTTTTGAAAAAAAAATAAAAATTTAAAGACATTTTAGTCTAAAACGCCAGTAATGTTACAATACCTAAGAGAATGAATGTAATGACATTCCCGGCAATATACCCCAAAAAATCTACTATTGATAATAAAATATTACCGGGAATAAGATTCTCAATCAACCAAACATAAAAATCAACATAGGAATGTGTGATTCCAATCCCACAATCCTTCCACTAATACCTCTTGAGGTTGAGGGGTAGGGTTTACAATTGGAAAAGAAAATAAATAAAAAGAAAGTCAAAAAGAGGGTATTATAGATTGTCCAACTCTCACCATCCAACCGCCGTCAGCCACCAACACCGCTCCTTCTAGGTAGATAAATACCGTATATTTATACGTACAAAAATACACAGATGCAAAACTTATATATAAGGCACCTATCTCCCTTTCTCTTTTCTTAGCCTTTTTCTCTCTTTCCTCTTCATGCAGCCTAGAAAATGGGAAACCTTTGCACCTGCTTTGCTCATAAAACGGTAGCGAAACGGTTGCAGCACCAGCAGAACGGAGCCAATTCCAGCAACCGGTGGGCTAGGGTCCGATCGTCGAGAAAGGACAAGCTCGATGATGCTGTGCTTCAAGAGCAGGCTTTGGCAGCTGCGATCTTGTTCAGGCAGCAAAACGGGGGAGCTTCATTGCCATTTGATAGGGCGGCTTCGTTAAGGTACCCGAATTCTAGTTCCGGGTCTAAGAAAGCGGGTCAGTTGCCTCGGAGTTCCAGTTCTAGAGCTAGGTCCCTTACTGACCCGCTTTTGCAACCTCGTCAGCTTGTTAACCAGGTTAGCCATTATTAGTGTTAACTTTTTTCAATTCTGTAATTTATTGTGTATAGGTGCTTTTTTGGTTGGCGCAGGTCATTATTGTTGAGTGTTGGGTTTTAATTTTCCAATTTTATTTTATGGGTTACTATATTAATTTTTTATAATTGTATTTAGATTATGGGAATCACGAGGGATATGAAGATAATGATCAAAAATTTTATTGGTTACTTGTGGTATTAAATTTTTTTTTATTATTCTTAGCAATCTGGGTGTTAATTCTGATACTAAATGCTAGATTTTGTAGTTCTGGAAAATGAATTAGCTATTTGAGAAGTTGATTTAATTATGGAATTCAGCTGGATAAGTTAAAGCTAAGCTCATAAAATTTCTGGACAAATTCTTTATGGCTTGCTGGAAATTCTATCAATATGTTAATGGTTTGTCTATAAGGCTGCGTGTTTACAGGTTTTGTTTAATTTTCTGTTCTTTGTTAGTTGTTACCATAAGCAACTTTGCTTGTTAGGTGTACTTTAATCCTTTTAAATGTCGATTATGATCTTTCTCTCTTTCTTTTCCTTTTGACAGGACAAGCTCGATAATTTGGAAACAAATCATTTTGTCCTTGTCCATGGTGGAGGCTTCGGTGCTTGGTGTTGGTATAAAACAATTGCACTCCTAGAGGAAGGTGGTTTCAAAGCTACTGCAGTTGATCTAACAGGTTCTGGCATTCATTCGTTCGACACAAATGGCATCACCAGTCTCTCACAATATGCGAAGCCACTAACTGATTTTCTTGAAAAACTTTCCGAAGGCGAGAAGGTTCTTCTCTATTTCTTTCTTTACTTGTTTAGTTCCAGTACATATGCTCCCTTTTCAGCTTGCTTCTTCGTGTTTGGAAGAACTTTTTCTGGTGCAGACGGACATTAAATTTAAAGCTTGTTAATCAATTCAACGTGTGTCCTGCCCATTAACTAGCCTTTATGGGGTATATTAAATTGTACTTTATATTGGCGCTTGTATATCTCTGCTAACCATGCTTTGCAGAACATTTTTTTTACAACTTTTTATCCTCACTGTTACTGGAAAGTTTGATGTAGTTAAGAGATTGGTAACAAGGCCTCATTGCCTTGAAACTTTGCAGGTGATCTTGGTCGGGCATGATTTTGGTGGTGCATGCATATCGCATGCAATGGAGCTGTTTCCTTTTAAAATTGCAAAGGCTGTTTTTGTGGCTGCTGCAATGCTGATAAATGGACAAAGTACTCTTGATATGTTTTCTCTACAGGTTTGTATTGGTTGAATCATTATTTTAATTTCCGAAAACTATTCTCTGCAGATGTGTTCTAATGATGTTGGACTTGAAATATGCACTTCCGTTGACTGTCTGTTTTTAGCGTCTGTAGTTTCACTTTTTGCCGAACTTATTGATTTGCTTGAATCTTTGGCATCGACATCTTGTTTCACCATAAGCGTCTGCCCTGGGTCTTTAAACTGTAATCTTGTGAAGGAAGTGAGGCTAACCTTATCTCTCAACATTGAATATATTAAGTCACCCATATTCCTATATGGTACTTGTTAACTATGTTGCTCCAACTTTTCATTTTTCTTTTAAGTATCAGTATTTGACATCCGTGTTTGATGTATTTTTGGACATAAGCATGGGGATATGACCCTTTAAATATGTTTAAAAAATCTAAAAATGTGAAAATACCTGGTTTGGACATACATCCGTATCTGACACCTTGTTAATACTTTCCATGAACAATTAATCTAACGATTACAACTTTACGACTTTATGTAACTAGTGCTTAAACTGTTCCAGTCAGGATCCAATGATCTAATGCGACAAGCTCAGATATTTGTGTATGCTAATGGAAATGGCCATCCTCCAACTGCTATAGATCTAGACAAGTCTTTATTGCGGGATTTGTTATTCAACCAAAGTCCTTCCAAGGTACGTCTGAACTCGGGATTAATGATTTCTTTCTTAATTAATTTGACTTGCATGTCATATAACAAGATAATTTGGCTTACTTATTAGATATTCTACCATGCTGGCAAGTGGCAGGGCCCTTGGCCCCCCCTGGTTTGGTAAAATTTCTTATGTAAATGGAAATGTGTACGCATTATGCAATCAGTATCTTAACATCTCCTTCTAACTTGATTGTCTAAAACTTTTCGATGACTTTTGTCTTCTGATTCTCTATTTGTTCAAATTAGACTTATTCCATCTCTTGTATATGTGTCTGTAATGCCTCTGTGATCGTGTGCCATTGCAACTGCTGGTTTTACTCCACTTTTCTATGGTCCAGGATGTAGCGTTAGCATCTGTGTCAATGAGGCCGATCCCTTTTGCACCAGTTTTGGAGAAGCTTTCACTTTCTGACATGAAATATGGGTCCGTGAGGCGTTTTTACATAGAAACTCCCGAAGATAATGCCATACCAACGGTGCTTCAAGAGAGGATGATTAACTCAAGCCCACCAGAAAAAGTACTCCGTCTAAAAGGGGCCGACCACTCGCCATTTTTCTCAAAGCCTCAAGCCTTGCACAAACTATTTGTAGAGATCTCAAAACTCCCTCCACCTTGAGAGAATCTAATTGTTGGATATTCAATGGGAGTCCCCCACTTGGGGCTTCATTTGATGAGGTATAGGGAAATCATTCTCTGGAATTTTAGTGAACATGCCATGCCCATGCCCATGCCCATGCCCATGCCCATACCTTAAAAGATGGTCTTTAGAGCTCGAACGCTAGATAGCCGCATCTTGTATTAGAGTGCGGAATATGTCGATATCATTTTCCTTGACCGTTTATTGTTTCCGGTTTTCCTTTCATGAGATATTCGTATTTATGCTAGTGAAAGATGAACACTTGAGGGTTTCACATAAGGCAGTATCAGCCATTTTTTTTATCACAAGGCTTGGTGCATACAAGGATGCTTGTTTTGTCTGTCTTGTTGAACAAATTTCTCATGTAAACATGATACATCTAAGCTTAAGCTTGATGGATTGCTGAAATATAGTCACTGAAGAACAAGACAAATATATAGCCTACAAAGTTCAATGGAACATGCTCGTGCTATTTCGAGGCATAGCATCGAGAAAGATGATTGTAAAATCCTTGAAAGGATACATACATACATACATACATACATACATAACAACTCCTTGAGTACCATATGAATTGGCCAAGAAGGATAAGCAACCAAGACATCGTCCAACTCTACACCGTCTAGATTCCTGTCATTCATAGGATAACGTCATGGTTTAACTACGATAATCTATTTGTTAAATCATTGAAGAGTTAATTGCATTACATATCTCCAAACTACAACCCTAGTTATAAATTGAATATCAAACTTTTGCACATTTTAATTTCATCCCAAAACTATAACTCTCATTCTAAATTGGTCCATGAACTTTTAAACATTCTAAATTTATCCCCAAATTATGAATAGTCTAAGGTGATTACAAGGTAATATATGTTCAAAATCTTTCTTAGTCATTTATAACGCACACACGTAGACGTAGTTACTTGAACTTAAAACCTCTAGCTAGAACAATACTTCCTTCAACTATTTAGGTTACTTGATGAATTAAAAATCAAGTTCAACTTTATGTTCAAGTATTAAATGAATAATATAAATTTAAAAGAGAATGATATATCGGCATATAATGTGGATGCATGTTTAGGATATATTTTTCGAAGTGAAAATATGATCATACATGTTTGGTGATAAATACGCTTTTAAGGATTTCGTTTAACTTAAGAAAGGTTAAATCTGTATTTTAAGATCAAGTTTCGAAATTTAACAGGAGTCTTTAGTAGTTTTACTTTAAAATGATTAAAGAAATCAAAATTTAACACTGAATTTTGATATTCAGAAGATGAGTTTCGATGTTCACTTGGTAGTTTCAAAGCTCGCATACTTAAATTGATATATATATATATATATATATATTTGTTAAACCTCCTTGATGATATTAATCACTATAAGATTCCTTTGTCAAATCTCACCATTTACACATAAACAAAGTGGAACAGGGGATGCACAGGGCAATAATTACGCCTAAAAAGAAGGCTTTCTTTGTCGAAACACATTCCACTGCCTCTTAGCTAATGTCTTCCTCATTCCCTTGATAATCTTTCCGAACAACGTTAGATTCATAACCGATAGGACCGATGGCACAATGATGATTAACACTCGCCCGTAGGTAAAATAGATACACAAACAGGATTATTCTTGCAACCTGCCAAAAACATCAAAGTTCAAGAGACTTGTGAGGCATGGCATGAAAGCTCAGGTTCAAACCCTTGCAACCCAAGTCCGAAATTGTCGAGGAAAAAAAGGGGTCCGAAAGCAGTAAACCAACTCCACTCACCAGCCAAGTTACAAATATTACAACTCCATTAATCAAGTATGCTCTGGATCTCTTCATTCCAGCTGTGTCGAGATACCTATATGAACCCAGGTGTCCTTAACATATGAAACTGAATTGCATTTTATGAATTACAGGAAGAATCAGCTGATACATAGTTGAGTCTTTACCATCTCAAGTTGATCCCAGGGGTTGTAGTCTCGGAGATGAGTACCATGAACGTACAAAGCTGACCCTCCCCTGTCAACATAGAGTACGCTACAGCTGCTACCGACAGAAGATGGTGAAGATAACAGATTTTAGGTTGATTTACATCACGATAAGATCAACCCCCACTCACCAACTAGGCCTCTATAGAAAGATGAGACAATTGGGGAAGATAATAATCAAACAATAAAAATAATTGCATACTCCACTCCACCCAGAAAAGGGTAAAACCAAATGATCATCCCAAGGTCAACCAGAAAGTAACCAACAGATACCTGTTAAAAAAAGTAGTTTCAGCAAGATGAACTTACAGCAATATCACTCCCTCTTGTACGTATAATAGGCAACAATTGGCTTATGGTGATGTTAAACACCGACTTCGGTTGCATATTAAGTAAATTTGTCTGAGGTTGGTATGTAATTTCATGACATTTTGCATATTTATGTATTAATTCATTTGATATTTAATCATTCTGCAATAAAAAGAGGGTAAATACCATAAAATATCAACTTCTTTCCAGGTTAGATGAGAGATTTGAGGCACATTTTAACATTTTGCGCCTATCGAAATGAAGTCAAGAAAATGCTTACTTCAACCAAATCCTAAAAGAAGCACGTTCTAGATATTGCGTCATGTTCTAAATATATGGATAGAGCAAGAGCTATCAACTAAGTTTCCTGGGATTAGATTATCCTAGTCCTGACAGAAAGTACTGGCATACGTGAGTAAGAGCTATCACCCAAGTTTTCTTGGGATTTAGTTATCCTAGTAATGACAATAAAGATACTAGGCCAAAAAACTTAATTTGGTAGATATGCTCCCTAGGTTTTGATTGTTTCAACTAGAAAGGCTCCAAGCAAAATGACCTGAACTATTTGCCCCTTAACACTGACTGCAAGGCAGTTTAAGACACATCATAGACAAGCCACTGATCAAGCTTCTAGTGAGACAGGTATGTGTTGACCTAGCCCTGCACCAGATATCGATTATCAGACAGATAAAATGGAAACAAGGCCACGAGCATGTAATGGTGATACTCATTCTGATAATAAATCTTCACACCGGAGATAAAATGAGACAAGCCTGTAAAATGCCTAAAGCATCTGACTAAAGTCAAGGCATATCAACTTCTTCGTAATATCAGATATGCTAAACCAAGCATAAAAGAACATAGAAGATTAAAGTTAATCCTGATCCAAGAGTTTTCGCCCAAGAGTAAAAAGAAAAGAGTATCTCCACCCCCAACGTGAATGTAGACAGTGCAGAAATTCGGAAAGTAACCAGGCCAGTAGTATATTGGTGGTCAGAATAGAGGTCTGACTAAAACACAAAGTACAAGGACATCATTGCAATGAAAATGGCATGAAAGGTTGATATGGATCTACATAAAGCATCTAGATATTAATTATATATTGATAAGAGTAAATAGTAAGAACACAATCATGTTAACTAGAGATATAACTCACCGGTTGCTCCACTCAATCTGCTTGATTTTTGATAGACTAGGGTAGCTCTTAAAGTAAACATTGCAAAACAATTGTGTATGATCATAGACCTGGAAAAGGGTAATGGTCAAAATTTTGGAGGAAAAAAAGGGGAATAATATTAAAAGAAATAAAAAAGAATGACTTAAAACATAAGAAATGAGAGAAATTTCGGTAAAAAACTAAAAAGAAATAAAAGCTAAATGAAAAAGAATCACCAGTAAGTGAAAAGGTATAAATGTAGCTTAATAATCATATAGATGCAAATCATCATTCTAATTCAACTGAACTGTTTTCAAACTGATTAAACGAATCATAAAATCGATTTTTTGAATGGCCAAAAGGAGTTTGTCTTCATTAATATCTATGGACCTGTTATTGAAGCTGAAAAGGAGGAATTCTTTAGGGAGCTGCTAAGTTATGTTAATTTGACGAATTTGCCAGTTTGTATTGGGGGTGATTTCAATGTGTATCTTGTTCCGGAAGAAAAGCAAGGGAGATCACAAAATTGGCATGCTATTGAAACTCTTAGATCATTTATACAACAAGCTAACCTTATGGATCTGCCCATGTCAGGAGGATCTTTCACCTGGTGCAGTAACAGAGAGTTGTCAACATGGGTTAGACTAGATCGATTTCTAATTTGTGGCAGATTTTTGAACAGCTTTCCTAGGATTTCACAATGCCTTTTACCAAAATCAATTTCAGATCATAATCCGGTCTTGTTGGAGGATGTTAGTCACAATTGGGGCCCCAAACCCTTTAGGCTCTTTAATTTTCTGTTAGAGGAGAAAGGGTTTGATGATTTGGTTGAAGGTTGTGTGGTTGATGAGAAGAAGAAGAGGAATAGAGGGGGGATTTTCAGGTTGTTACAAAATGCGAAGAAGAAGATCAGAAATTGGCCTGGCAGCAGTCATTTAGGGCTGGCAGACTCTATTTCGCTACTTGAAGTGAAAATAAACGAATTGGATTTAAAGTCACAAGGTGGAATGTTGTCTAAGGGGGAATGGGATCAGTTGATTGAATTCAAAAATGAGCTGTGGAGATTGTTAAGGATCGAGGAAAGCATTTGGTGGCAGAATTCAAGAAATAGATGGATCAAAAACGGAGACAAAAATACGAGGTTTTTTCACCTTACTGCTATGAAAAGAAATAGTGTCAATACCATTCATTCTCTGAAAATTGAAGGGGTGGTATTTTCGGATCCAGTTAAGATAAAAAACAGTGTTTATGAGTTTTTCAAGACTGCATACAACACAAAAGTAGCTTTTGAGGTTGAGGGTTTAGATTTTGATTTTATGAAAATATCAGCAGTTCAAAGGGTTTATCTGGAGGAGGAATTTACAGAGCAAGAAGTGTGGAATGCAATTTCTTCTTCAGATAGTGCTAAAACTCCCGGTCCGGATGGTTTTACCATGGGTTTTTATAAGAAATACTGGAATCATTTGAAGGAGTAGGTTATGGAGTTTTTTTTTCCAGATTTCTTTGAAGGAAAGGAGTGGGTACACGGGGTTAACCACGCTTTTATTACCTTGATCCCAAAGAAAGGTAATCCGGAGAGTATAGAAGACTATAGACCCATTAGTCTTGTGGGCAGCCTATATAAAATTCTATCAAAAGTGCTTTCAAAGAGACTTATTTCTTGTGTCAAAGATATTATCAGTCCTAATCAGTTTGCATTTATTCCGGGGAGACAATTGTTGGAATATGCTTGTGTGGCCAATGAAGGAATTGACAGTTGGAGGAAACAAGGGCTTAAAGATGTTGTCTTTAAAGTAGACTTCAACAGAGCGTATGACACAGTGGAATGGCAGATTGTTATAAGATTATTG